CAATATTGTTAGTTACATTTTTTTAAGAAATAACGCTATAACGCTGGTGGGAAAACAGTTTCGCTATGTCTCGCAAATTGAAATTACTTCCTTTCATCGAAATCATTGAAAACTGGAAAGGAACGAAGATTGTGGAAAGGGGGGCGATAAATAGCGTCACATCGGCACGGGAAAATGATGTTTCCGATACGTCGAAGACCCTCCTGATGGAATGAGAAATAAGTTTAACAGAGAAACGGCATGGGGTTTGAATTTCCAACCCCCTCCGGGTACGAGGGAGCGAAGGAGGAAAGATCCCAAGATGATACGGAAATCAAGTTTACACAGACCGGCGTGTACTTTATCTGCAATTTGTTCAATTCAGGACTGGAAATAGAAGCTGAGAAAATGTATACAACTAGATGTATAGATTGATAATTAATCGTAAATTTATCCCAGACAAATAGTCCTTTAATATTGTTTATTCAACAAATTTATTGGGTAAATAATAATCAGCACCCTCTAAAAGCACTTACTAACTTATGGTATAACTTATATTCAACACGAGTTTAAAAACATTTTTAAACATTTAACTCATGGCTAGTCCAGTTTTTCAATGAGGAAAGATCGCATATACCAAATATTACATCTTCAAGTCTTAAAATTAATTTTATTGTATAGCTCCAACAACTTATTCCCCGAATTGGAAATATAGCAAAATTTTACTCGACTTGCTCATCAATGGACACACATTAAATCTTAATTATTGAAGAAAGTCACTTAAGAAAGTTGTCATCATTGTGTCATCAGTGATCGTTGAGAAAAGGTGGCAGTTTGAAGAACAAAGGTTAGGTTTTACGTAATGATGTAAATAGTGGAAGCCCATTTCCATACATTTTGGGATGTTTTAGGTTTCTATTGATGATGTTTCATTTTATNGAAAAACATTTTCTTTATGGTGCCAACGTTTCGATCTTTATTAAGATCATCTTCAGGGCCTGGGATTTACAAACGTTGTTTAAATTTAACAAATACATGTAGGATATGGAAAAAAGTGAATTTATACAATGGAAAAAAATTTATTTTTGTATTTGTTAAATTTAAACAATGTTTGTAAATCCCAGGCCCTGAAGATGATCTCAATAAAGATCGAAACGTTAGCACCAGAAAGAAAATGTTTTTCTGAAACCTACAACACACTAGACCGATCTCACGATTTCTGAATAATTATGGACTAACGGTCACTAATCACCACACATTATACTTATATTTAGACAAAGTTTGCAGCTGGGGAAATTTTCAAATCACTCGCATATATCCTCTCGAAATTCACAGACGAAACGCATGGATATAGATTTTCAGTTATATTGTCCCAATATTACCAGAATTCCATCCCTCGACAGCATGAATTCCTTTAATAATAAAGGACCGACAAACACATAATGAAAGTGAAGTGGTGACAAAATGATTCGATATAGATAATAATCCAAATTATGCAACAATATCGGAAAACAGAGTGGGAGTCAAATTTATTATATATTTGGTTAGATATAGTTGAAAACGGTTGTTTTTCTTACTCCATTAAAATAATTTACCTTATCTATTTATAATTAATTGTTTTTCTTTTATTTTAGAATAATGCGTTTATTTTCACAAAACTCTTCACCATCCTACACAATAAAATTATAATTGAGTGAAGTTTCCATTCCACCTTCTTACTTAATATAAATTACTTATTATTTAGTGGTTACCCATCTTTATGGTCCGATTGCCCAAACCAGCGAGAATAGGCAGACCAAAATAACTAGAGTTGACCGAACTACGGGGGTCCAATCACATTGCTGACCACACAGAGGAATCTCTATTTTCATAAGTACCTTAAAAAATCTAACTATGCATTTTCTAATTCCTAACTATCTTAACGCATTGGGCTTTAAGTATGGAACAGGAGATCATTTAAGTTTAAGAGTAATTTAACTTTAAGAGTTTAATAATTAAATTAACTCAAGTAAATCTGCACATTACTGACATATTATTTACAAACGTAGCTCACGTGTATCATAGTTTAGAGATCAGTGGCTACATCACAGAAATATACAGATTTCTCAGCCCTTGAAATGTTACTATGGATCACTTCCAGAGTTTCAACCCTCCAAGTTTAACAGAAATTTACTTTCGAAACCGTTGATTTTTTCGCCAACTCTCTTTGTTATCATAGAATGCGCAGTTTTTGAACAGAACCGACAGTGAATATAAAATATAGGTCAGGACAAAGGGCGTCAATATCGGCCTTATATACCGAGGAGTTTAGAAACGAGGGAGGAATTTCAGCTTACTCTCACCGGAATAAACACTTTTCTCTTATAAATCAGTCTTTAATCCAAAGGAAATACAAACTGAATGCTGAAAATAATCACGCTATTTATCTAATAAAAAGAATATTTTTGGTGCCAGACAAGTTCTTAACATTTATTGTAAATATAACTAAATTCTGAGAAGTCGAGGATGTTAGTAGCTAATTTCTACCTTCTGGACTTTAGTGGAGCAACCGCCCCTTGAGCTTTGATCAAAGAGCAAACGTCTTCGGTGACGCATGTCTGACTATCCGCTTCCCTTTTGGGCTGAGAAACTTTGGTAGCTAAGTGGTTTTGTCAAACATGAAATTTTGGAATTTGATCGACAAGTAGTCGTGAAGCTGCGTACCGTTTGTTCGAAGAAGGGAGAAAAATATTTTAGATCAGAAATGGAAAAGTTATTTTCTTAGGCCCAATCATTCAATTTGAGAAAGGTTGAATGCTACTAAATGAGGCTTTAGGTGTTTCTTTAGAGTATATTCAATAAGTCGTTATCAATCTGCATTATTTTGGTTGGGTATTTCTTCATGTGCAAAACCTCGCTTTATCGTTTATTTTTAATTTTTCTACAGTCGAGATTGTAGAAATATTTTTTCCTTTTTCATCAGTCGGTAATTTTAAGTCAACGTAGACATAGAGGTATAAATAATACATTGATTTAGTTTAAATATTTTCGGCAAACCTTTTTAAAATTAGAATTGACGCTATGAGTGACATCATTTTTATTCTATTTTCTATCATTCTTTCGTATGTTTTGGGTAAGCTGTATTAATGAAACGATTGTTGTTAGGGTTTAATTTTAATTTAATTTTAAAAATTAACTCAATCATACAGCATTGCATAATGTATTTCGACTTTGTTGGGTCAAATTCTATTAGGCACGTCTAATATATTTTTAGCTTTGATATGTAATTTTAGAAGCTTACAATATTTTATTCGACCATGAACGAGAGCTGAATTATATGAGTAAAGGGCAATGAGAAGTTTGTAAAGGAAAAATACTTAAGGACGAATGGAAGGATTTTTTACTTAAATTTTTGATATTGGACGAGATATAAGGTATATCTAATGATATAGATTCATTTATAATAATGTAAATAGATAATGTTTAGTCAACTTTTGCCGAAAGTTTGAGTATTTATAATAGACCAAACAATTCATCTACAATTATATTTCTGAAAACATATGTTGGTAGCTGAATAATTTACTTATGAGGAAGATTTTCTCATAGTTCCACAATTATTTATTTAATTCTTTATATTTATAAAAGTAATGGTTCAAAATAGGAATTGACAATTGTGACTTAACGTTATTTATTTTTGTTAAGTAAAATTAAATTAAATTGGTTGTTGAAAAGAATGCTTCAACCAGCCATTCAGCAATTTCCTCTCTTTCCTTTCAACTCATTCTAACCATCTCTTTTCCTAATTTTCATGTCTGACTGCATTTTATTATTAAATAATACCTAATTTTATTTTTTCATTTTAAAAGTTACAAAAACAGTTTGGTTTAGAATGCAAAACCTGTTGTAAATTGAATTGATTGTTTTAACGAGTTTTCTTTATGAAATCGTTATTTCAAGGGTTTGAAGTTATGCTACAGTAGGTAGAAGTGTGGAAGTTAGACTAATTTACGACTTTTCAAATCGTCTTATTGGGGCTTCTTCATCTCCCAGGCATAAAATAAATACAACTTATATTTTTCTAAAAATTTCGATCGTCTTGGTTTTTGATCTATGTTTTTACTATTGTGCTTTAAACTATAAAACGTCAAAATTGCTTAAGAAACCAATGGCCCTTCGTCAAATTTAAAACACGTTTTCACATGAAAGCATAATAAATTGTCAGAAACATTGTACAACCGATTTGTTAACAACCTATTTAAATTCCTATTACGTCCAATTAGAAAATTCTATATAAAGTTATTTTGAAAGTAATGCTAATAGGTAATAATTTAAGAAAATTACTGCACTGTCCCGCTTATGATTCTGTTCCCTAACTAATACAATTATTTTGGAATTTTTAAAAATAACACGCTGTCCTTCCACATGAACCAAATTTCCTGCAATATTTCTCCTTCGAATATTCCATTTTTTACAAGACCCAACAAATGAGACATAATCTTTTGATATTATATTAATAATTATTATTATATGCAATAATAAATTAAAATATCAAAAGCATTTAAAGGAAATGTTGAGGTGTTCATGGGGGGTTAAGGAAGAAGATTCGGGTGCCTCTCCCAGATCGATCCCTGCCCTGCGCACCCGTTTCACTCAGTTAACTCCTGATACCGAATTTTTTTTTTTATTTTAACTCCCGGATACAAAATAATTTTGGATAATACATGATTAATAAAAGGGTGGATTTAGTTAGGATTAATTTCCCTTAACCATATCCCTCCAATGGAAAGCGTTTCGATGGGGGGAAACGGAGAACTTATTATTATACACATTTCTGACGACGTTTTCACAAACTTCATGAAAATTTGTAATTAATTAGTCAAATCGAATTTCATCCAAGGTCATTTCTTAATAGAATATTTATTGAACTATCGTGATTTATTACAATCCATTGTGATGTACGTTTCATCATCTCCTTTTATTCTATTTAATATGCCAAAATAATTGATTGGTGTTTAATTTATTATATTTTTTTAATATTTCAGGCCATTTTCTTTACCTTTTGGTAAAAAAGCCGTCAACTACGACAAAAGAATACCACATCACATCACCGGAATACCCGAGAACGGCTGACAAATGCCACCTCTCCCTTTGGATCCACATGAGCAATATGATCGGAGGAAACTTGAAAGTCGTCCTTGTGAACTCAAACAAGACCTCTTGGTTCGACAAAGAAAAATATGGAAACAACAATAATTCGTAAGTGGAAGAGTACATTAATGGGAAACATTTAACCGTAGAACTACTGCTTGGGCCCGCTAATGCTCGCTGTTTTTATTGCTCAGGCGTTTTGTGACCTTAAAATATAACTGTGCTTAGTTTCTCGCCATTTTATTATTTTTTATATTGGATACTTATATAATCGAGGAGTTTCCAATAGCGCTTCGCATGAAAACTTTCTGAAGATGAGACAAGTGCTGTCTCGAAAACGTTACAAATAAATTGTTTTAAAAAGTGAGGTTTCTAAAAAGATAAAACGGCCACAAAATGAATCAAAAACACAACCAAGGAGAAAAAGTATTTTAAAAAATATTTAAAAAACAAGAAAAGAAAAATATAATAATCTACTATTTTATTTTAAAAATTTAACTGCGTCACTCCGGAAAGAAGTTATTTTTCAATTTGAAATATATAATAAATTAAAGTAGTGATTAAAATTCTGAAGCTGTGATAAAAATAACCGAATGTTCGATAGTAAAACGATTTGCTTATGTTAGACTTTTTCATCTCCATTTTTGCCTACTGGTTTAATTGTTGTTAATGATACTGCTGTTTGTGCAAACTGTCTATCTAACCGAGAACAAATAGCTAGAGAAAGAAAATTAAAACCAGTAAGATAAATTAGCAGCTAAAATAAAGCTTATAAATTAAATGCTAATTCTTTTCCCCCCAAAAAAACCTAGTGAGATAACAAAACAAAGTTTTTGATAATTCTGTAATTCATATAAAAAAGTTTTATAATTTTTATATTCACTTAGAAAAACATCAACTCCTTATATGAAAAATTATTCCTTTTTGATTATAGACTAATGAGAATTATCGTGTATAATTGTTTTTCTTTGGCCACAACTTTTCTGTATTTAAGCTTTTTTGATTCGTTGTTGTATTCTACCTTTGAGTTTGGACAGTTATAATTAGTGTTTTATTTTTTCAGATGGGAAAACCATTCTTTCAACATTGGAAGAATCACTCAACCATTCACTATTATACTTGTCGTGACCCACACGCAAAGAAACAGGTATCCACTCCACGTTGCAATTGACAATATTAGACTTCTGGACTGTTTCCCAGGTGAGAAAATACGATTAATTGAACAAAAAAAATTATAAATTGTTAAATACATTTAAGCAGGTATGGAAGGGAAGTAAAAATTTGAGACATCGTTTTAATTAACTGCTGTAAAAACCATAACACGGTGAAATCATTTTGATTCGTAAAGCATTTCTATTATTGCTGGAGTACACGGAATGAATAAACAATAATAATAGTAATTATGTTCATTTATTAATTAATATATTTGTGTCAATTTATGAATTACTGCTTTGTTATTGAAAGGAATTCGATTGGGAGAAATATTTAGAAAATTTCTAAAATTGACAAATAGGATGTTTAATCATTTATACCAGAAATTTTTATTGTATTTGTTTCATTATTGTTTATATTGGTTTTTGTTAATTATTTCTTTCTTATGTAGTTTCCGATTTAAAAAAGTGTTAAAACGAAAGCTATTCATATGATATATGTTTCAACAAATCATTCAAACCTCTGGTTGTCTTTATTTTAATTTATTTTTTATTTATGGTTTATTTATGGTATTGACTATTCGTTCGTAAAAAAGGAAAAAAACGACTCAGCTGTTAATTTATTATTACAGGAGGGCCTTTCAAATTGTTCAAACAATTGAATTCATACAAAGAGAGACCAAGGGGTGAGTGTTTGAGTGTTGTATTGGAAGTTTCCACCAAGATTGAGATTTGTTCCGGCTGCGGCCTCCCCTGTCTACCTTGACACCAAGACTGAAGAAGTTGAGAATTTAATATTCAAAAAACTTCATCAGTTCATGAGTCATATATAAAGAGAGAAAAAAACAGAGTTGAAAAACCCTTTCATTACATAAACTCCCCTTGCCACAACTTAGAACAATTCAAATTAACTGTTTTTAATCCGTCTGTTCTTTTGGTGTGATTGTATTTATTCCCACAGTTTTAATATACATATTATGGAATGAATAAATTCACAGTTGCATTTTGTAATCTAATCATCGACCATTTGTACACTTCTCACTGTTTTATTGTTTTCATACCGTTTTCTCTTCCACAGTGTAAAACATATTTTTTTGCGATGTTTTTTGGTTTTTATTATTTTATAGCACATTCTTATTGATTTTTCTATAGGCTTTAGAAAAAGTACAAGATGTACTTGCAGTCATTTCAACGAAAATTGGCCAAACCATTTACACATTTTTCCAAATACACCGGTAGAATAAGAGCACTTTGTTTGTGCAGTTACAGTATTTCATAGTATAAGTAATATTTGGGCTAAATCGATATTTTGAATAACAAGTAGGTTAACATTAACGAATATAGTTTTAATATAAGTATAATTAATCCATATTTGCTTGGTGTTATTATTATTCTTTTTATCTGAGGTTTGCGGTTGAGGTGAAAAATTAGTGTCACAAGAGGGATTCGAACCTCCGACCTTCGGCTGGCTTATTCAACTCCCACTCGCGACAGTAATTTTTCACCTCAACCAAAAACCTTAGATAAAAGGAATAATTAATTGGTATAAGTAAAATTTTTAAAAAAATTGATGGCTGTGTGGAAATATTACTCGAATTAATAAAGTTAATTAAGAGCTAAAAACTTTAAACTTGAAAAAATAAGGAACAAGCACAAATTTTGGACATAAAAACAATTTACTCCAAGCTGATAAAAATTAACAACAGTTTTCTTGCTCCTCAATTACAAAATGAATTTAACAATTATCATTATTTTTACTGTTATTATAATTTTTCCTTGCAAAATATATATCTTAAAAAATTACATTTATTTTATTTATTAATTTTAATTTTTTATTGTATTTATTAGTGAAGTTTGCAATGTATGTTGTAGGCATATTTGTGTGTAATGAACAATCCTTTTGTATATAATTTGTACCATTTATTTTTTAAACTTTTTAGTAATTTATTTATTTGTGTTGTCAAGTTCACTAAAGTACTTGTGAAATAAAAAATTGCTTGAAATTCAGAGGTCCATGCAAAATCGGTTTATAAAGTTGAATTATTTATTTATTTTTGTTCATTGAAATAATTAATTTTATACTTACAGTATATATTGTCATAGCTTGTGAAAAAAAATTTGCTACTATTTCATAAGTTTTTAATAAGGTGTGCTATTTAGTTTGGCTACTAAAACTTTAATTTAGTTTTAGTTTGATATGAAATGCCATACGTTTGACATCGATCACTTTGTTTCAGAAGAACACTCCACTCCAAAAGAATGTTCGCCAGTAAGTCAGTTTCAATGTTACAACAACGCATGTATAGAAGCAACGAGAGTGTGCAATATAGAGTTAGATTGTCCTAATGGGGAAGATGAAGAGCAAGACTGCTGTGAGTGAAGGATCAAACATTTGTTTAATTCAGATTGGTTTCAATTTAAATCTTTCCTTTCAGCCGAAGTGCCACATTTTGCCAGGTGTGATTTTGAAGAAGACACTTGCGGATGGCACAATAAAAATGGCAACCATTTGAAGTGGATAAGAAATAAAGGTATGACAGCCACACCCTCGACAGGCCCAAGTAACGATCACACATTTCAAAATTCATCAGGTAAAACATTTTTTTAAGTATTATTTTATAAACTCTCCTGCAACAATTCTAATCCTAGGTTATATTGATAGGTTATTATATGTATGTTGATATGTCTGGGAGGAAATATGATATGGGAACTCCTTCAGAATTAGAGAGCCCAATATTTGACCCTCCACCTACTTGTCACAATAACAACTCATCCCCTTATTACAACTCATGTTATGTAAGTTAATTTTAAAACATCTTCTAATTTCATCCTATTTCTGAGTGTTTTTGTGTTTTGCAGATTTCATTTTTCTACCACAAATATGGCCCTCATAGTGGATCACTGGGTCTTTTTTTAGTTGAATTGCAAAGAACAAACATTACATCTAAACTATGGTGGAGCTATGGTGATAAAGGCAATAAATGGATTCGCCAGGTTGTAAGACTTCCTAATATAACACATAGGTAAACAATATAAAAAAATATATTTTTTAAATGTTAATATTTTTATTTGTAGCCAAATTAGTTTAGCCTAATATTAATTATTAGTACATATTACAAATGTGATCACAATATATTTTTTCGCACGGTCAGAGCACTAACACTAAGGCCAAGACTGCACTTGTAAGACATATACCGTGAGAAACCAGCCAATGCTGGCACTCTGTATGAAGGATTATGGAACAAGGAGATCTCAAGGCCATCATCAATTAAAACAACATGGTGGGTTCTTGGGAGGAGAATGTGTAGAGAGAGCTCTTCCAGTAGAGTTAAGATGGTTGGTGTGAAACTTTTGGAATCAGGAACAGATCAGTTCGTTGACAAAAGGAATACTGAGATCATTATGAGTAAGATTATTATCAGTGAGGTTAGTGCCGAAGTAACTGACAATTGACAATTTGTCTGAGGAATTTTGATTGGAAAGATAAGATGTGCTAGATGTTGGATGGCTTTGGCAGAACCCCACAGTTCTGCAAATCCAAAGTGGTCACAGTAAAGTCTGGCATAGAGTTATTTTAGTTTTGATGATCAACACAGATTTCAGTTCTAGAAGTCTTCTTAGTTGTCCAAGTTAAGTTGTACTCTTAAATCTTGTGTGATGATTCCATATCAGTCTGCTGTCTAGGTATGATGATGATAAAAAGTTTATTACCTTTTAGGTTAAATTCCTAGGAATAATCTTTGATAAAAAAGTTAACCTGGAACCTCACTTACAATAAATCATAACAAATGGAAAAATATCGCTAATGATCCCAAGGAGAATCGTAAGCAAACCTTGGGGACTAATACTGAAAGAAAAAATAACTAAAACCCACTGGCAAAAATAAGATCCCAAACAACCTATAGATCACTAGCCTGGTGGGCCAAAATTCAACAAAAACAAGCTACTCAAACACCAGATAGCCTACAAGATTAGCACACCTATCCATCACAGGGGCAATGAGAACAACCCCACTAGTGCACTAGAAACTCTGCTAAACCAACCTCCACTGGAAATATACATACAGGAGAAGCTAGAAAATGCTCATTTAGACTCCAAAAACAATCAAATTGGATGGGAACTAAACTATTAGGGCACACAACCATAATTAATAAAATCAGACACCCATTGTTAGAAATGGGGATCGACTATTTTTTACAACATCCTATAAAGTTTCAACAGACTATAAAGGAGAGGAAGAACTCAGGAGAGCATCGGACACAAATGATCTATGATATATAGATGGCCCCAAACAAATGAAGGAACTGGATTATTTTTAAATGAGCAATCCAACTCACTAGGGAAGTACACTTTGGTCTTTCAAACAGAAATACCCACCAATATTACTTATGCCCTAGAAAATCTTAAAAGAGGTTACACTGGCAAAAAAATCTTCATAAGATCAGATAGCCAAGCAGCTATTAAAACATTAGCGTGTAAAAAATCATATCAAAACCAGTCAGTGAATGCATCCAAAATATCCAAAACTATGGGGGAGGACACAACAAACCTGATGATATCTTGGGTGCCAAGACACAAAGAAATTTAGGGTAATGGAAAAGAAGACACACTAGCCAGAGGAGGATCTGAAAGACCTTATAAAAACCCTGAACCTACACTTGGGTAAAATAATAAACAAACACAGATCCTCCATCGCCGAATGAATTCAAAAAGATAGAAAGAGAAGTGGATAAGCTCAAGGAATACTGGACTCAGTAAACTTATGGTAAAACAACCCTCACCAAGATTGGGAGTGATAGCTGCACCTCACTCCAAAGCAGTGATTGGTTAAGTAGCATTTTAGGATTAGAAAATAAGGAAAGGGTAGGAAGTGTTTAAGTTTTATATATATATTTTAAACATCTCTTTTTTTATGTGAAATTTACAATTGTATAATTAACCACAAGTAAATACAATGTAAGTTGATTTGTGCAGTGTTGAGTGGAAAAGTTACTCAGCAGTGACACTGATAAAAGTACACATAAGCAATCACTATCACTCAGGATAAGGTCATGGGGGATAATCATAAACTATGAAATTTATGATAACTTTGCCTAAATTTTAAGGTGTGTTTAACAAATATAATTTAATAAGTTTAATATTTATTTCTAGATACTATTTCCAATTTGAAGCTCGAAAAAGTTTTGCATCAAGAGGTGATCCAGGAATTGATGATATTTCTCTGAGCCCAAAATGTTTTGGGATTGGTAAGAGAATTTAATTATTTTTTCCTTAGTAATCATTTTTTTAATATATTTTAATGTGCACAGGGATTCCACCAGCCCATCTTGGGGGTTATGTTTATGGGTCATCAACAATAACACCAGGTATTCATCCACAAAAACATAACATTTGAAGATATTATTTACATCCAAGCATTGTAAATTTTTATTTAATATTGTTTTAAATCTTGCAGTTTTAACGACCCCTCCTGAAGTCCATCCTGACTTTGCAAATTCAACATGTAATTATAATTAAATTTTGAGAAATTAATAATTATAAATCAATAACATTTATTTGATTTATTCAGATTATCTCTTTGGGACTTGTGGAGCGAAAGGAAGATATGGCCCTGACCAAGACAACTGCACTGAAGCTTATAATAACACCGATGTGACTATAAAAGTCATGAAAGAAAAACTTCTCCAGGGTGTACAGCAATGGACAGTCCCTCACAATGGAATTTACACGTAATATTTTTGTTTTGAATTCAGAAAAAAACTTTTTAACTTGTGCATTTATTAACTGAATAAACAAGTGTTGTCGAGGATTGTATTACATTTAATTTATTTAAAACTATCATTTTTTGGTCTTTTTTAATTTTAAGTGTTATAAATAATGTTAAACTACTTTTACATAGATTAATTGCAAGAGGAGGCAGTGGTGGAAGAGGAAGTGGTGGGCTTGCAGAATCAAGAGGAGCTATGGTTCGAACTGTATTAGAACTTAAAAAAGGACAACAGCTCTATATACTTGTTGGTCAGGAAGGGAATGACGCCTGCAAAAAGGTATAACAATGTTACTTATTATCATTAAAGTTCTGTTTTTATTAAACAATTTATTAAAACAGGACATGGCAGCAAACAGATCGTCAGTTTGCAATTTAAGATCTAATACTAGTAAAAAGGGAATATTTAATGCTTTGAAAGAAATTAAAAAACTAACATATTTACCTGAGGGTGGAGGTGGAGGTGGAGCAACATATGTATTCACTGTCAGTATTTAGTTTCCATCCTAGTGATTATATTATAACACAATACTTTTACACAGATGTCTCAGAAAAATAAAGAGAAAAAACCAGTCATTGTGGCTGCTGGGGGAGGTGGTCTAAGCCATAATTCAATAATTGGTGAAGTATTACAATATGGACATGGAATAAATGTATCATTGCAAGCAATAACTGGGGATGCTAGTGGACTAGTACCTGCCGGTAATTAACTATCTTTTTTTCTGCATTTGATTTTTCTAGAACAAAATTTTGCTGATATAATTACTAATGTTATTATTATTTTAACCATTCTGTGGGGTTTTAAAGTTATTTTAGGGGGTGTCGGTGGCCGCAACAGTTTAGGCATTGACACGGCACTCATCACAGCAAGGTAAAGGTCCCAGGTTTGAATCAAGCATCCCTGCATTCGAACCCGACATACTTACAAATGGGCTTTTTCGAAAACACCGGCACCCCAAGGGTTTTAATAACCTCCTAGCTGAAATACCCTCATTTAAAAACATTAATAATAATAATAATAAAATAGAATAAAAAATATATTTAAAAAGTATAATAATATTGGTTATTATATTTTATTTTAAAATAAAAAAATTGTTCCTTTTAATGCATGGAATGCATATTGGAATAACAGGTGCGGGTGGTGGTTGGAAAAGTGGAAATCTAACATATAGAATTACTACTGGCTTGGCACTCTTGCAAGGAGCAGTAGGAGGAGGAGCTTGTTATGAAACAATAGATAATTCAGATAAAGGTGCTGGTGGATTTGGAGGTGGTGGTGGTGGTTGTACGTCAGGAGGAGGCGGTGGTGGTTATTCAGGTAAAATACTTTATAGTTTTATTGCAGTTTTACAAATCTGTCGCTTAACCTAATTTAAGGTGGAAGAGCATGGGCAGGAAAAAGCACAGTTGGAGAAGGGGGTTATTCATGGATTGAAACGGGTTCTCACAGGATGACATGGATCGCACAAAACCGAGGACCTGGAGCACTTTATGTCATACCTGCAATTGAAGGATGTGGATGTGATTTTCTATGCATTGCTTTGGATACATACAGATCAAAAGTGGAATGCATTTGTCCTGCAAACTGGCATTTATCCAATAATTCTGTTCAATGTTTAAGTGAGAACATATTTAATTTTTCTAATGAATTTTCCAACATTTTTTGTATGTATTTGTTTTTATTTTTCTATGTAGTGAACCCATTGAAAGAAACTGAGATGTCTTTCAAAATGATGTTAGGAGTTATGATCATTTCTTTTCTTCTCATCTGTCTAGCCTGTTTATGTATTTATTTGTGTAAGTAAATTTAAAAGCATCCCCATTTATTTTATCAATTAAAATGAATTATTTTATCTCAAATTATTTTACCATCAGTTTAACATTTGATTACAAGTGTTATCTATGCAAATTTTTTCGTTTTATAATTACTTTTAGGGGTTTAAAAATGATAATTTTTTAGACAATCGTTATCAAAGGACAAAAGTTGCCATGATGAGAAGTAAAACGCTTTCCGGTCCTGATTTACAGTTGAATAGACTTAGGGTTGCTTCTAACAGCATGATGACTGAATATAATCCAAACTATGAATTTGGGGGTGGTGTGTACAGTCTAAGAGATCTCAAAGAAATACCAAGGGAACACTTGAGGCTTGTCAAGTAATTTCTTTAATTTGTAAATATTTGTTAAATAATTTCTCAACAAACTAATTTCATTTTAGAGCTTTGGGGCAAGGTGCTTTTGGTGAAGTGTATCAGGGTTTTTTTAAAAATAGAGCTGGAGATGCTGTTGAAATGCCTGTAGCTGTTAAGGTACATTTTCAATGTTGCCTTTTTCAATAATAACCAAGCAATAATTATTTTGTACTACTTCTGCTTATTCACTAAAATAGTTTTATTATTTTCTAGTTGAAATAACAATAAACTAATAATGACTTAATAATTAAAGGGTTAGTAAATGGCCTTTGAATATATATTCACTGTAAACTATTCAATTTGAATAGGTTATTAAGACATAATATTATTTTTTCAACAATGATTAATTTAATAAATGCAACAATTTAATAATAAAAATTACTGTGTGGTTTTTATTAATTATTTTTTCATTTAGTGACCATTAGTTGATGATTATTTGGAGATCGTGTGATGGGCCTGGTGTGATACACCAGACCACATCTCACAATCTCCAAATAATAAAAATTAGCTTGCTTTAAAGTATATATATATATATATATATATATTTTTTTTTTTTTTACATGTATTACTCAAAAATATTTGTCAAGAAATTGTTGACAAATATGAAAAGTTCAGTATTTTTTATATAAATATATTTATTTCCTACATTGTAATGCTACATTTTTTTTTTTTTTTTAAATAGACATTACCTGAATTATCAAGCAGCCAGGCAGAAACAGATTTTCTAATGGAAGCACTGATAATGAGCAAATTTAATCATCCGAATATTGTCCATTTCATTGGTGTTTGTTTTGGTGAACATCCAAGATTTATAGTAATAGAGCTTTTAGCAGGTGGTGACCTTAAGACATTCTTAAGAGAAGCTCGACCAAAACCTGTAAGTTTAATTTATAATATGTTTTGTTTTTTAATGCACTTTTCACTACATTATTAAGTATTATCTATCTTCAAATTATAGGACAGAGCTGCACCATTAACAATGAAAGATTTGTTAAATTGTATAATAGATGTAGCAAAAGGTTGTAAATATATGGAAGAAAATAGGTTTATTCACAGAGATATAGCAGCAAGAAACTGTCTTTTAACGAGTAAAGGCCCTGGTAGAGTTGTAAAAATTGCTGATTTTGGTATGGCTAGGGATATTTACAGGTCAATTATTTATCTATTTTATTTCATCATTGAAAAAAGGAAGAAGACTATTTTATATATGATTCTTCTCTTTTAGGGCTGATTATTACAGAAAGGGTGGCAAAGCAATGTTACCAATAAAATGGATGCCTCCAGAAGCATTCATGGATGGAATTTTTACTACAAAGACTGATGTTTGGTAAACCACACGTAGCACTCAAGTGTCTAAAACATTCATCAATATGATCAATTTTATTTTAGGTCGTTTGGAGTTTTAATGTGGGAAGTAATGTCAATGGGCTATATGCCTTATACAGGGTGCACTAACCGAGAGGTGATGCAGTTAGTTACAAATGGAGGTAGGCTGGCACCACCAACTAACTGCCCGAGTCAGCTTTATGGAATCATGACACAATGTTGGCAACCAAACCCTGACAATAGGCCTGGATTTCCTTTAATTCTTGAACGCTTAGGATATTGCATGCAGGTATTTTACATAATTTTTTTTAAATTAAGACTGTATTGCATTTTTAAACATTTTTACTTCAGGATCCAGATGTAATAAAAGCACCACTTCCTGATTACACAAAACCTCCACCATCAGAACTCGATACAACAATAATGAGGCCCTCGGCCCTGGAGGAGTGCATTCAGCCAGATTACCTTGTCCCTCTTCCAGGGCCACCAGAGTGGGATTTAACCCAACAATTACCCGAATCTAGATCTACCCATCCTCTACTTGAACATTCTTCTACTAGCAATACATCACCACCTGCCACTACAAACAACAATAACCAAACTACAGACCCTTCGGTCATACCTGCCAATAAACCTCATCTTGTCGACCATACTGATCAACCCGTTTACATAGTGTCTTCTAATATAAAACAAGATGGAGAAGTGTCATGCTAAATTTTGAAAATATGATGTGAAGAATGAGAAACTGCATATTTTTGAGAAGATTTACTTTTGTAATAATTTTTGATGGCAAGCTGGACAAAATGAGAAGCCAGTGTAGTACAGGGTAAACTGAACGTTTTAATTTACTTTTATTCACGTTCAGAATATATTTTTATTCAGAGGTGAGATAAAAGATATAACGTAATCGACTGTTATATGTAGATAACAGATTTATTTCAAAGACTTGGATTGTATAAAATAGTTTACTCCAAGTCCATAAATATAAGAAAAATATATCTCAGGAATGATCAGTTAAAAGGGGGAAACGGGTGTAATTAAAACCATAATTATCCTGAGATTAAATTCTTAAAGCATATTTAAATCTTTAAGAAAAGGTGATGCTTTATTTTTGAGGTATCCAAGATATCAGAATAATACACATTTATTCAATAAATGTAGCTATAAAAGCTTTAGTCACTGCTCACAACTGAATATATATTTTCAGAATCTGGAATAAACTGAATGTAAAGATAAGAATAAAATTTGTTAGACACAAGTATAATTTAATTTGTAATTGTACAGACAATGTATGGGAGTTGTAAGTGTTAATAGTTTTAATTGAAAACTTGAAAATAAACAAGTAACAAAAAGGGCTTATGTGTACAAACTATCTTTGATAAGTTCCAGGAACATGAACGGCCAAATAATACCTATATGTACAAAGTTAATAAGAAAGTTGATGAATGAAAAGATGATATTTATAGGTACAAATCAAATTTTTGTACTTCAACATATTTGGCAATGACTGATATGGAAGAGTAGATTATAAATCAACTAAATAGAATAATAAGATTGTCATTATATGTATATTCATCAATGTAGTGTAAAATATATAATAATATCACAATAATTAAAATGTTTTTCTGCACAAAATTTATAAAGTTTGTGCATTTAAACTCATAATAAAATAAGATGCTTAATTAATGTGATCTTAGTATATATTAATATATACATAGTTAATTGTAATGATGAAACACATAAGGGTAACTTTTTTTCTATTAAAAAACCTTGCATTTATAAATCTTATAATTACAATTATGATGTATTATTTTATGATATTAATTTACCAAATTGTGATTACCGGTATAGAGTTGCTAAACTCATTTTACCTAAGTTGTTATATTTATTATCGTAACAATTAAAAGATTGTTGTTATTTATTGTAAATGCTTAATATGTTTTTAAGTTTGTGTTTATACTATAATTTATATTTGTTACATGTTTGTGCACTTATATCCTAATTTTGCTCAATATAAATATTTGTTAGAAACTTTGCTAATATTCTCAGTAAGACTATTTTTGTCCAATACTTAATGAGGCATGTCTAATTATTATCGCAGATAATGTTGAAGGTCAGGAAGTTTGATCACCCAACACTCATCAACAATGTGAAATTCATTATAAGAGAAGAGGTGGACCAATTTAATCGAAGACAATCAAACTTCATCTGCTATTTAAAAAAGCTAAACTATAGTTGTGTAATTTCAAGTAAGTAGAAAGAGTAAACACACAAACACATTAATAAAAAACAAAACTAATTAATTTCATGCCCACATCCTTCTGTACATGGAGACATTTCTTGCAAGTAATCAAATTTCTCTTGTTCGCACCATTTAAAGAATTAAATTTTGTCTAATTACTAACAAATTTATTTACATGGTGACAAAATTGGCTTATAGGCAGTAAATTAACTATGAAATCATAACCAATACAACACCTCTTTACATTGAGGTCAAGGTCAGAACACTAATCACCTGCTACAGATTAATTAGCAAGTGCAGCTGGAATCATAAGTGCAAAAAATCTCACAACTATTCAGTAAGGCCAACAACCAATTATTAAGCGTTAGTGATAAAAAGATTAAAACCCCTTCGGGGAAAAAGCACTTTCAGGTAGTCACCCCTTGTGATTATAATTATAGTTTGGATGATGACCATCGTAACATAGACTGCTATACAGATGATATGGTTCACTTATCAAATGTAGAGGGAGTGGTTCAGGAATCTACATACCAATATGAGGAATCAGCATCTCCTCCCCTCTTGGTAATAACACCTCAGTTTTTCAGTCGGAAATCTGGGCCATTAATGTGTGTTGCAGAACACTTATGGAAAATAAAATTAAGGGAAAAGTTATTAGAAATTTTTCTGACAGTCAGGCTAGTCTTAGTTCACTACAAAAAGATTTGTCAACCTCACGACATTATCAATAGGATCTCTACCAGGTTTGAGGACAAGGTAACCCTTATTTGGATACCAGCACATAATGGACACTATGGCAATGAAAAGGTGGATGGCCTGGCCAAAGAAGGTTCTAATTCTGTGTTTGTCGGGCCACAACCGGTATTACCACACTCTATGAGCACAGCGAAAGAGAGTATCAACAACTGGGGCATGAAACAATTCCTTAGGGAGTGGAATTTATCCCCCGGACACAGGCAATCGAAAGAGTTTGTTAAGGCGATCAAACCAGCAAAATCGAAATGGCAATTCTCTATCTCAAAGAAGGGAATTAGAAGGCTGATAGGTATCCCGACAGGCCACTGCCCACTGAGAAGACACCTCTCCATAATGGGTATTCTACCAGANAGTCACCTCGGGTTAAGGGGGAGAAAAATGCAATTGTGCTTAATCGACATCCGAGATAAGCCGAGTGCATTTTTCTGTACAAATAGCTCTTTAACTAATTTTTAATAATATGATATATATAACTTATATATAACTCCTCCACCCTTAGAATAATGCTTCCCCAGGGGGGTCGTATTTTACAACATGTATTGTTTGTTTATTTTTATCTACAATTTTAGTTTTTATATATCTAATTATACATAATATTGTTACAATAATGATTAAAATATAAAGGAGTAGTGTCCATAAGCTTAAATTAGCGTGTATATATGGGGTAACATTATTTTCTGTTATAATATTTGGAGAAATATCATGAAGAGTAAAACGACGAAGCTTGATGCTGAAGTTGGAGATTTGGGTTGGTTCAAATGTCAGGTTGAAGTTGATGCTTGGTTTTCCATGGCTCGTTGTCCGATAGACGAGTGGGTGGGTGTCCTTTGTATATGATTTCGCTGTTGCCAGGTTTCAGCAGAAATATACCTTCCAGGATTTTTGTTTCAATCGCGTCATCTTGGTTGATTTGAATCTTCTCTGGCGTAATGAAGGTACATAAGAATCGGTTGATCTCTGGAACGAATACCACATGGTTGTTTCTTATCTGAAGTTCTGTGTAGACGCATTGTGTATTGTTCCCTTGTAAGATGATTTCCTTTTCGCATTCATTTTGGTGATTTGATAGTAACATTTGCGGACAATGGTAAACCTTGTTTTTAACACATTCGCCAGTTAAATATGTTAGCTCATTACTTTTAGATTTAATGGCATAATTATTTTCAGGAATAGTTGTAACTATCTTTTGGCCAAATTTTGTTGGGATGGGTTGCAATTTATACAATTCAAATTTATTGTTAGTACATAGTGGTAATCGTAGGAAGTAGATTATTTGATTTGTTTCAACTTTACAATCGACTTTGATCATATTTTCGAAGTCTATGATATTCTCATACTTCACCTCTAAGGGCAACTTAGTATACAATCTGTTCTCTAATCTTTTTAATTCTGAAAATAGTTGACGTGTGTTTATAATGCTTGGATGCATTGTTTTTAGTTTGCAAAAAGTTATTGAATTTTCAATATCTTGGATTATTTCCAGCAATAATTGATAAAGGATTTGTAATTGATTAAAAGTATCTTTAATTGAGGCTATTTGTTGAATATTTCTAATATTTGTACCAATCAAATTTATTTTATATTCCAATTCTTCTCCATTACTCCTTAAGGTGTTTATCGTTTCATTAAAGTTGCTGATTACTCTTTCGTTAAGCGAATACATGAATTTTATTTGATTTTGAAGTGTAATTTGGTTAGTGTTGATGTGTTCTATGATTGTATTTAATTTTTTTCCGTCCGCATCATCCAGGTTTCCTGTAATCCATTTTATTGCTGTACCAAGTCCATTGATCAGTCCTCGTCTTTTCCTGTTATTCGAGTGTATGATCAAGTTGTTCAATTTCTCTTGAGCTATAGCTTCGGTATAGTTAAGTATTTTATTGAAAGGAATCATTTGTTCCAAAATTGTTTTGTTCGTTTTAATATATTTGGACATTTTTCTGTATTGGTGTTTTAAATTGTTGAATTCTGACTGTAATATTTCCATGTCATAATAATGCATTAAAATGTGTTCGGACGTGATTATTCTTGCTTCTCCTAAAGATATCGGTAGAAGTCCTTTGTTGTGTGAGATATTTTTTATCTCGAGTGCAAGCCTAGCAGCTGACATAGCGAGGGTCCAGGTTTTGGAACATCGACATTTCCGGTATTAAACTGATGTCGTTTTTCGTGGTCTTTTTACATTAGCTAAATGAATATTAGGTTTTATATTATGATGGGACTTTTCTATCGTTGCTGTTTTCCTTAAAAGATTACGGGATTTTATTTTTTCATTTTTATACAAATTCTTTGTTTTAGATTGTTTTTGTTTGTTTCTTACATAAACATTTTCGGGGATAACTGATATTTCTTCTCTGTTCTCGTTTTGTTTTTCTATAATTTTTTCCTTATGTTTTAAACTGTTTTTGTTAATTATTCTATATATTATCTCTACTTTATCTTTATGTTTATTAATGTAATTATTTAACAATTGTGTTTCTAAATTTATAGGTAATAGGGATTCTTGCTTAATATGACCTGTAAGTATTTCGATCGGTTTCAGTTTTGTAACAGTGGATAGTGTTGTTGTACGCTAGTATCGCGTAATTTACTTTATTTTTTATTGTTTCTTTTTGAAAATGTTCTTCATTGTTTAAGAGTCGAACATGTTCGATTAGTGTAGAGTGAAAGCGTTCTATTACTCCATTTGAATCAGGGTGTTGTGACGAAATAAAGTGTACATTAATTTTGTATAGTTTCAGGAGTTCTACAACAAGAGTATTGTTAAATTCCACTCCGTTGTCTAGTATTATTTGTTCTGGTGTATTATGCCTACTGAAATGTTTAATTAATTTGTTGACTACTTCTATCGCTTGCCCGGAATTAATTTTGTAGGCTTGTGCAAATCGTGAAAACGTGTCGATAATTGTAAGAAATTTCGTGTTATCTAGTGTTATGGTGTCAATGTGTACTATTTCAAACGGTTTTGTCGGTGTGGGTGTAATGTTGAATTTCAGTTTGAGGGGCCTTCGGTCATATTTTACCAATAGGCAATTTTCGCATTGATTAATAAAAGTTTGTATAGATTTTCGTTGGTTAGGCCAATAATATAGTCTTTTAATTGCACTATTAGTTTCGTCGATTCCCCGATGATTTGTTTTACCTACGTGGTAATTTTCGATTATTTCTTTTATTTCATCCTTTGATTCAATATCCATTAATTTTTCTGTATACTTAGTAAAATTGATTTCGGCATCTTTGAAATATATTGCCAATGTGTTACTAAATTTTTCATAGATGTCATTTTCAAAATACAAACCATATTTAGTTTTTGGAATTATATAGGATTATAAAATTAATAACATCTTTTTCTAATTCGTTTTTTGAAAATTGTACCAATATGCGTTGCTTTAAGTTGTCGAATAAATTGACAACCTTGGGTTTGGCAGGGGCACATTCTACTTCCGAAATAAATATTTGATTTTTTATTATGTTAATTGGTCCTTCTAATATGGGTGTATTTACTACAGTATTACCATTAAAATTGGAATGCATTGTTGCATCTTCATCGGTTGGTTCATCTTCGTCTATATTTACTCTCACGGATTCGTTGTCTGAGTGAAGTTGATCAGTATTGGATTGTTGAAATTCTAGGTCATTTGGAGTTAGATTCAGGTCTTCTAAGTTTTCTTCCCTGAGTTCATGGTGTTTAGTATAAAATTCTTCTAACAGTTCGTCTATACTCATATCATCCAAGTTGTCTATGTCTTTTGTTTCATTAGCATTTATTTCTACTCTAGATAATGCGTCAGCTACAACGTTTTCCGATCCTTTTTTTGTAAATTATTTCATAGTTATATTCTTCTAATTTCAATCTCCATCTTAGTAGTTTAGAGTTCAGTTCTTTTAGTGAAAAGAGCCATTGTAGTGGTCGATGATCACAAAAAATTTTGAATCGTCTTCCAAAAAGATAGGATCTGAAATATTTCGTAGCCCATACTATGGCTAGAAGCTCCTTTTCTAAAATTATATTATTTCTTAGGAGTTCTAGGCATGTTGAAACGGAGGGGTGGCTGTGTAAGAAAGACGAGCACCCCCCTCTCCAACAGAATATTAGTCACGATTCTAATTTTTTTAAGTACATCACACCAATGGTGACCAAATTTTTAGACAGTTCATTAGATTCTTTGTCCAACTCTTGTGAAAGTAGTTCTCTTTCTTCCAATGATAGTATCCTTCCGTTAAGTCCTTTTAGAAAACTCCAATCGAATACCTTGGCTGTATTTTGTAAAACGATGTCCATGCCTGACAATTCATTGAAAATAGAATTTACTGGCCAATTAAATGATAATTCCAAAACTTCAGACCTTGAAAGTTCCTGTAATGACTCAAACAATCAGACAACTGAAGAACAAACTTGGGACAAAAGCAAAAACGAAAAATATAATAACTCAACAGCAAATGACATAAGTAAGTACTAAAATATATCTTTATTATATTCAATACTATTTATTAACATAATACAAAAATAGTATAGAAACGGTGTATAAATGTGATTACATTACAAAAAAAAATGGTTTTGGACTTGTGAGCAATAAATTAATACTTGATGAGAAAAAAAGGAGAAAAGAAATAAAATGACTAATTAATTATTAAAATAAATTAATAGATAAAATATTTACAGATATTTTAATGTAAAAATTAAAATAATGATAAATTTTAACCTTTTTAGCATAATTAATTTATTTGGTGACAACTAAATTACCACATATTACAATTTTAGATTGTGCATATGAAGAAAAAGTAAGCAATACTGCACCAGATACTCCAAAAAAGAAAAAAAGTGGTAAACAATTTGAGCTAACTCATTTTATTTCTATTCCGCTGACGGATGAAAATTTCCAGAAGAACTTTATCACTTTCAAGGTATTTGCATTATTTCTTGCCCAATTGTTATATCAAATATAATTATTTAATCATTTTTTCTTAATTTGAAGGAATTGGTTTTAAAAAATTGTAACAAAGATCGAGGCATTTGTGAACAACTTTTCACAGCACAAGAAAGACTACACTTAACAATCGGTGTTTTAACATTGTTAGAAGAAGGGGAGGTTGAGAGAGCACTCAAGCTTTTAGAAACTTGTAAAGAAACAATTGTGAAGTATGTAGATTTCTATCCAATATTTTTAATTTTTGTAATTAATTAAATAAATAAAATAAACATAAATAAATATTTAAAAATAACTAAATTCATTTTATATTTTAATTGTTCGTTGTAATACTAATCTGAAAATCTATATATTATTCTTTACATGCATGCTTTTGTATACACATCATATAATCCTATAGTTTTTATTTGTAAATACTGTATATCATGTACATATGCAGGCCTGTATTAAGAAAAGAACAACTACCTTTATTAATGAAAGGGCTAGGATTTTTTGGTGGGCACAATCCTAAGTGTGCTAGAGTTTTATATGCCAATGTTGTGCATCCTGATGATCCAACATTACTTGAGACTATGTGCAACGATATAAAATTCAAATTTGTTAAAGAAGGTAACTTAATTTTTCTTTGTAAATATGTTTGAATAGAACCTATCTAAAAAAGTATGTACATATATACATATTTGCATCAACAGGGTTTATAACTAAAGAAAAGGAAGTGAAGGTAAAAGTGCACGCTACACTTATGAAAACTACTTATGCCACAATGTTTAAGCCTTTTAATATTGAAAATATACTTAAGGTAATAACATAATATATAAATTAAATGTTGACTTTTTTTTTTTCTTTTTTTTTCTTATAGAGATATTAGTTATGTTTTAAACGCTATGAATTTCAGATGTACAGGGATTATTCATTCGGTGAAGGGGTTGCTTCCCAAATTGATTTGTCACTTTTTAAAGGTAGTAAAAAAAATAAATATTACGAATCAGCCGGCACTGTGTTTGTTGCTGAATTATGATTTGTATTCCTTTCCTTTTACTAATATAGTTTTTAAAATAAATACATTTTATCTAATCACGTTTACATTTTTCTATTTCCTACTTTTTAAATGATTAATCAAGAGTTAGTGTTTTCCTCAAAATTTCAACATTGTTGTTTGGGAAAAAAAGGTTATAAATTATATTTATTCTAAATAAATTACTGGTGAAATAAAAATTAGCAAATTTTTTTGAAATCTGACTAATTTAATTTATAAATTTTTCTTTAATAATTATTATCTTTTTACAGAATTCAATGCAAATAACTTATTTTTCTAGTTTTGTATTTTGCTGATAGATAGATAGATATACTTTATTTACAAAATGAAAAAATTTAAAGTTAAAAATAAAAAACAGTATTATTATGGCATGGTATTAAAACCATCAGCCAACAAAATTAAGTATAAAATTATTACAGTTAAAAAATTTCATTGTTCAGGTGATTGCGATTAACAGTAAAACATTTAAGTGAGGTAATTAAAAAATAACAAAAATGATCAACCTGGAGTAGTGGCTATGACTACAAGTTCTTTAGTAAACTCATTTATCTCTACTATCATTATTTAAATGCTACTATTGTGCAGATCAAACATTCAACTCCCTATTGAAAAGATAAGGAACACACTTTAGGTTCAACAAAGAATTACAAATCATTTATCAATTTTCCACTTATGAAAAACTGTATTAAATTGAGTAGAGTTTTGTTTAAACAAGTGTTTGGAATTATTTTATGGTACAGACCTGTCGACCAACTCACGTAAAATGCAGGGCCAGGAATTGGAGGCGGTTAAATATTATCACTCTTACACAAATAGTTCATTCTCCCAGCTACACAGTAAGTAATTTAGAAAGATGAAAGAGTGAAACTGGTTATTGTGCACAAATTTTTCATTGGCCATTTAGTAGTCTTCTTATGCTTCATGGAAACAAAATAAAGGTTGGATAATCACTTTTGTTTAAAACTACGCAATAATAACAGATAAACTTGCCTTGCTTATATTATATTTAATTTAATAGTGCTGAAATCACAGAGTTAATTACAAATTTGGGTTAACAGTGTTAAATATCCTAAAGTTTTGAAGTTCTGGTATAAAACTGATGTTTCATTAGTCTTTATAAATTAACTTCTCTTCTAGGTTAGAATTAACCCAAGAACTTAATAATTAAGAGAAAAATGACAAAACTCATTTATAAAAGGTAAATATTATTATTATATTCACCTTATATATACAGAGAAAATTACATTGTAAGTATAGCAAATAGCATATTTATTATCTAAACCAAAACAAAAAGAAAAAATGATTACACTTAAAATGTAATAATCTGGCTCCTAGTAAGACATTAAACATATTGTACTAATATTTTTATTTTTGTACAAACCTACTATTATGCAATACTCTAATAACTGTTATGTTATTAAAAATAGTCAACTAACATATTCAATATTACTGAACAATAAATTTGATTTTGGTAACACTTTTACTTGAATATGTAGCCATTGTTCCTAACAATTAGCAGGAAGGAGTTCATTTTGTGCAAGCAATGAGTAAGTAGCTCAAATGGCTAATTTTGAACATTTTCAGCCGGAATATCCAGATCAAATCTCTCCAGCTTGTCGTCCATTACAGGTTTGTATTACCCATTCTTTGAATAATTTATATTAATAATTAATCATTGTGATTAACATATTCATAACTTTAGAAATGTGTCATTTTTTCTTGTTCTCTTTTCCTTTCTGATATGAATTAGTAGTTGCTTCCAATTACAACTCTTTGAGATTTTAACTAATTTTATTTTTAGAGAGAGATTTTAATAGAAACAATTAAAAAGGAAAAGTGAATATAGCATATTTGTAGCTTGATCTTGATTATCATCCTGATCTGCTTATTCTGGCTGTCTTTCTCAGTCAGACACATTTACACATTCAATTGTTTTCTATTAAGTAAATGCTAAAATGCATCTACAGATAAAACCAGCGAGAATAAGCAAATTAGGACATTCAATGATGATCAAGCTTCATCACCTAGTAGAACTGACTTAAACATGTTTGACAACTGCAATTGTAGATCCATAAAATAACTGACCCAGCTTCAGAAATTGAAATAAATCAGGGAAATAATGTAAATCAGATAAATAATATTGACTGCTCCAGATGGCTATCAGCTGAATAGGCATATTAACGATAAACGTATTGCAAACTTTGAATTATTAAATAAAATCTTCCTCATATTTTTACAGCTTTTATGGTTCAATCTATTTGATCTATTTTAAATGCATTACCATGTCATAAAAGGAATATTAAAATTTTAACACAAAAGACACTAAAAATCCTCAAATATACCATATAATATGCACTAAAACACCCTCAAATATGAATATTATATGCACTATAAATTCCTTAGATATGCTATATAATCTGCACTAAAAATATTTAAATATGCAGGATGAACGTTAGACATCACCCATCTAATAATTAACGTTTTTTTAATCCAGACATATTTTTTTGGTCTAATACATATTCATTTTGAAAGGAAATACAACAGAAAAAATTCATTCAAGAATTGAGCTTATGTTCATGATCTGAATTAAAATTGACAGTGATATAGATTTCAAAGTTAGTTTCTGTAAATCTCTCAAAAAATACTTATACCTTGAAAAAAAACTTTCCAACATGAACAGAGGTAAAAGGAGCATATTTATAAAATAATTGGATAGTAGATTCTCTATATAATAAATTAGTTGTTTCCATTTAAGATTTCAAAGATTTACTCTAGTCAGTTCAGTAGTTTTGTCAAGAATGTTTTTTAATTTCTTTTGTAAATAATTCCTGCTTAGCCGGGGATTTATGTTTTGCATTGAAAGGAAAAATCCAGCTTGCTTTTTTAGAAGAAATTGAAGTTTACAATTTTGGCTTCTTTTTAAGTTTTGCTAGGCTGGAAATTAGGACTGACGCTGACTATTTTTGTGTTTCAAATGAGGTCCCTATGTTGTTAGTTGGCTAGTTTATTTTTATTTTTCCAAATAATCAAAAAGTTTCAAATTTATGATATTCTTCAAACATGAAAATTTATGCCATATTTTTAACTAAGCAAAAATACGCAGAATGAAATTTGAACCACCATACTATAGAGGTATGATTCAGATAAATATTTGATCATCGTGATCATAAATGCTAGCAAAAAGAAAATGCAATTGCATACAAATCCAGGCTCTAATTATAAGTGATTATAAAGGTACGTTTACATCTGACACTTTTGTCCCTAAATATATGCCAAGTATCAGACAGAAAATCGCTTTGACTGTTTACATATTGATAGAAATTTACATCATGGATATGTATACACCAGTTCTCAAAATGTACATACAAGATACATTTTTGTGTCCTCTTTCGTTCTGCATGCAGTTGATTTTATCTCATATGATGAAAGCATCGAAATGCAAAATTGTGGTCTGTGTAATCATTCTAAAGATTTAAAGGATGAAAAAATGTTCTGTATGGGTTTGATAGTTGGTTTTGAGGCGTGAAAAAGTCAGTGCCTACAATCAATTAATGTCTAAACTCAGCATTCAGTTTTTGAACTTCTGAAGAATGAAACCTGCTGATTTTGAACAGTTTTCTTGTAAAATTGGTCCCCTTATATCAAAGCAAGAGACCAAATTCAGAAAAACTATTGGTGTAACAGAACAACTTGCTGTAACTTTGTGATTTGTAGCATCTGGTAAGTAGATATTAATATTAAATAAAAATTGTAATTTTTTTTTTTAAGATTTAAACCACTCTTTTTTATCACTCTGTTTACGGACCTTATTGCAATGGCAGAAAAGTAAACGAATGACCAACTTTCGACAAGTGTCGAACAAGGTTGAACTTGCAACTAACTGATGTTTACTTGCATTGGTATAGAAGTGTCGACACATATAGCTAGTGGCTGAAATATTCTAAAAATTCTTTCCTCTTCACATTAGCTATGATGTTTTCTGAACATAAATATCATGCAATAACTGTCAGATGTAAACATACCTTAAGTTATGTTACTTGTCTTGACAATTAATTTAAAATAGAACTTACAGATAAATCAAATTGTAATTACAGGACATCATACATTAAAGTATTGCTTTGTAAAAACTAAATCAAGAATAGAACAATGCCAGCTTTATAAATTAAAATAAAAAGAGGTGAAATAATTGTGCACAGTTTTCAATATTACTATTTAAAAACAATGCTTAGTGTTTTTTAAAATAAATGTATTCAATACTCCAGATGGTTATTGGCTGAACCATACTAATTTGTTCCCTTTCATAAAAGTCAAATTGAACATTTTTACATAATTAAAATTGATTGTAAACTTTCAAGGCATTTATAATATACCATTTTTGCTATTTCTAATAAAATATCATTGGTCTTCAAATAAAAGAGGAACATAGAATTAGTGGGAGATGGCGTTGTAGTAGTTTTATCATTCCGTTCAAAATCGCTTATCATTTTGTTTTTCGTTTTGTATTTGGTTTCTTTGTCCGAGCTTTATATTTTCATTTATTTACCATGCATATTTCCGTCCGACAAAATAAAATAAAATGATCCTCGTGATTTCGATTTTTTTTGTTTCTACAACACATAGAATGTTGATTTTATTTAAACATAGCAAACATTCTCTGATTACGAGCTGATAAAGACATTTCACCACTTTAGACACTTGAGGAGTTTTGTGTATAACTTTATTGATGTTAAGAACAAAAAAGTACTGCTATAGCGGTAAATTTAATGTCATAAATGATAAAATAACAAACCTTTGTTTTTCTAGGATTGGGGAAAATGCAGGGAGCGAGGAGAGTGATATTTTTTTGTATAATGGTCGTATTTCTGCCAATTGTTTTGATATTGACGCCCCTTTACCTTAGGCATAATCTGTTTTCTGATATTAAATATCCCGTCGCTGAATCTGACATCATCGAAATGGTCAATGGCATTTCTTCAGTTTTCTGTCAGGTAGATTTTTTAAATACTGACATTTTGAAACAATCCAACATCAACACTAATTAAGTTTGACTCTTAGTCGTAATTGTAACTGTGGATTTTAATAGCAAGCAAAAATAACTGCTTTCAGCTGAACAAATCCATTTCACACATCTCTAAAGTAAATTTAATACATTGCTACAATCTGTCGAAGCATTTTGTAGCCAAATGCTCACTATGATGTTCCTTTACAAAAAACGATGTACATAGTGAGAAAGTTTACAGATGTTGAACACAAATACTTTGTTCATAAATTTGAATAGGAAACACTCGATGAGTGTGATGGGTGTTTGAATGTTCCAAAAGGTGCAAACTTCATGGTAATCTCATGCAATGAACAGCCAAACAAAGAGCTGTGTGAAACAAAAACATTTAGATCAGAAGCATTCCGTCTTTTCTCCTTTTTCAGTAGTGTATCTTTTTATTTATTATGGAATACAATGTATTGTGACACTAATGCTATGATCCACAGCATTTAAAGCACACATAAGCGTGATTCACATTTCTCCATTAGAATTGTAATAATTATTTAGAAATTGTGAGATGCGGTCTGGTGTGATGTAGGTCTCAGAAAAACATTTTCTTTATCATGCCAACATTTCGATCTTTATTGAGGTCATCTTCAGGGCTCAAAGTGTTTGTCTTCTGTGTAATTGTGCCATTCTTGCGTGTTGTGTTGAGAGTGCCGTTAAAGAAAATGTTTTCTGAAACCTACATCACACCAGACCGCATCTCACAATTTCTGAATAATTGTCGATTAACGGTCACTAATCACCACACAAAATTGTAATAATGTTAACAGACTTCAGCAAGCTCTTCCCGAAGTTCACAATAAATAGAAATGTTTGCAATTATGTGCATTTGCTTAAGTACTACTGTAATTTAAGCAATAATATTATGCATGCCCTAACTTTCAAGCACTGGTCGTACTATAATTATTTCACTGTTGAAGAACACAAGACAGGTTAATTATTTGATAACAGCAGGTTTAATTATTTTTTATCCTTCAGTCCGGTCCATGTGGTGTTTCCTTTCACACTTCTAAGGTGACGAGGGAGTGGCCAATATCCTGGTATGGATGAAATCAGGGGAATGGATGAGTTGTTGCTTTTTTTTTTTTTTTTTTTCCTTCCCCGTAGGGCATGATGTAGGAAAAAATGAGTTTATCCCGAGCTGTCTTAATTTAAGGCAAAGGTGTAGAGCTGAGTTTCTCACTTACCATGGCGATGACGTTATTAATTGCGTTACTCTGTTGTGTAACGGACTCTATTGGTATATCTATGCATGTAATTACTTATATGCAAAAACCCTGATTCCAAGATTAATTAAACCCACCACTGCAGAGACAATAAGCCAAAAAAGTAGGGGGTGCTGGTGGCCGCAACGGTTTAGGCGTTGACACGGCGCTCATCTCTGTAAGGTAAAGGTCCCAGGTTCGAATCCACCGGCCCTGCATTCGAACCCGACATACAAATAGGCGTTTTTTTTTTTTTTTTTTTTTTTTCAAAAACACCGGCACCCCGAGGGTTGATATAACCTCTGCTGTAAAAAAACAGCGATGCTAGGTAGCCCATAATGATGGAAAATTACCAAAATGCAGATTAATCATTTGACCTAAAGAAGAAATTTTCCAATTAACTACAAATATCACATTAAACAGAACTAGGTAATCACTTCATTCAAGTGAGAAACCATCACAAATTTGGAAGGTATCTATCAAAATGAGTTATTTCTTAAAAATGCATGTGATAAACAGTCAAAAAAAGAATTGTTACTTTCAAGGAAAATTAGACTGTACCAACAATGCTATTTATTGCTATTGCTGTTTTTTAATATTCATGTTGAAGTGGTATCCACTAAGTTTGTTCTGAAGGGCATTTTATTAATTATGTGCATTATTCAGAATGACTTGCACTGTATGTACTACATATTTTAGGGGAGTTAAAATTCTTTAACTTTGAGTAATAGTTAAATGTTTTGTTTTTACAAGCACACTTCTGACATACAAAAAAAATTTCTTTCTGAAATGAGTTTATTTGTTTCTACTGTACATAAAGTTCTGAGCTCAGACTACCTCTTCCATGCAACGACTTAAGAGAAAAAAAGTCGCATAATACATTGGGTGATATAAAAACTGAAGATTTTTTTTCTATAACCAAAATGTTTAAGATCCAAGGAATGGTTTCACCACAAAATTAATCTGCTGGTCCAGTATGGACTAGAATTTGTTAAAAAATCTTGAAAAAAATTTAAGTCATTTTTATACAATGTTTAGCCATGTACAATAGTATAGAGGCGTATGAAAATAATTGTAAGCTGTAATTTTTTAATGCTATTTATAAACATGAAATTCATTAAATGAAAAGTTCTTTTCTGCCTGATTGCATTGATAAAAGTATAGAACCTTAAAATAAAAAAAATCATCACACACTTAAAATAAAAAGAGACAAAAATAAAAACTTAAAATAGTTTAAAAGTGCTGTATGATTTGTTTTCCTTTACAGACAAAATGATTCATGACTAATGAAATCACAAGAAATGGTACTGACCTGAAAACAGTCTTAATAAGTTTTCATTAACATTATATCTGTTACAAAACAAAATTTATGTTTTTCCACTTAGCACAAATGTATTATTCGATGTCAGATAACAAATCTTGTTTAAGAATAAGTAATTAAATCAATTACAGTTTGTGGCCCGATTGACCAAATAAATTCTTTTCAATTAATTAAGGCTTTGGTTTAGATAAAAAAGTCAGTGTCACGAGCGGGATTCAAACCCACGACCTTCAGATAAATATGCCACTGCTCTACCACTTGAGCTATTGTGACTTCGATCCGCTCAGACGCTAACCTCCCATCTCAACCCCAGTTCGGGAGGTGAGGTTGAGATGGGAAGTTAGTGTCCGAGCGGATCGAAGTCACGATAGCTCAAGTGGTAGAGCAGCAGCGTATTTAGCCGTAAGTTGTAGGTTCGAATCCCGCTCGTGACACTGACTTTTATCTCAACCAAATGATTAATTAATTGATAAGTAATTAAGTTTCTGTTTGTATTCAGTAATTTTTGTTTTTCCAATTTAAGGAACACACATTAAAAATGAATACACCGTTTAATGCCTTCCAAGCAAAAGGAAAGCCAGTGATGTCGACAACAGTTAAAAAACATATACAATTAAAAAAGAGTATGTCTCTGCCTGATGACACATTGGAATATTGGGGATTTTTCTTGCCAAAAAGTTCAAAAGTATATCTCTCAATGTGTTCAAGGTATATTAAACAAACGCTATTCTTTATTAAATGTTTAATTTTAATCTTTGGTAATGTTTTAGGCAAGAGGGGTCTGCCATTCTTATTGTAAAAGGTGAAAAGACCCTAAGAGATTGTGGCCTATTGCAGCCAACAAAACTAGGGGGGCATTTTTCAGCAGATCAAGGAAGTATAGTTGTGAAATATGTGAATGCTGATGTAGTTGAGCAAGTTCAAAGTAAAAGCTCTGGTGAAGAGGTGATTACTTTTTACATGTGATGAATATTATGTTAATATTTAACAAATCGTTTTAGGTTGTTGATGATTATGAGACTAATAGTACACATAACCGCAAACTACCAAAGGACCTAAAGAGTAGGCAGAAGGCATTAGAATTGGAATTAAACGGAGATAAACTTCAAAGAGAAAAGCGCCAGGTCAGTAAATGTTTTTTCTAGAAATAATAGTTTTTGACATCAAGTTTTGATTTACCTAAAAACATACAAAAAGGATTCTTTTTTGTTGCAAATAATATTCCTAAAAATATGGTCAACTCAGTAATTTTATTAATCCATATGTTTTTACTTGGTACTATTTAACCAAAACAATGATTTAAATTGATATATGATTTTTAGTATAGTGTGGTAGAGATGAAAAATTAGTAAATATTTATTTACAGCCAAAACTTAACAGAATCTAATATTTTTTCAATGTTCAATGATTGGCTGCTCAATAAATCCATATATCAGAATAAGTTATTCATTTTTAAGATGGTCTGATACTCTGATATGATTTTTGTGGTACCTTTTTCAGCCTGCAAAATAAGTACTCTCTCATATTAAGTTGAAGTGCTGAATTCATTACCTAGCCAAAGAACCAATTGAAATTAATCAGCAAGATTTCAAGGCAATTTCTTGTCTGTTCTTGAACCATTCTAACACTTCCTGCATTTGCTGGTTTATAGTGTGGGAAACTTTTAATTTGGTTTCCTGGTGCTTGGCCATGGATCAGCAGGTACAGCAGTTTTCAAACATTGTCAAATCTACTTTTGACATATTTTATTTTAAATCTCCTATCTCTTTTGGAGATTTTCATGCTGGGCAGTATGGATTGATCATCATTATTGATGAGTGCATAACTGACTTGCAGCACCATTTTATGATTTAGATGGCCCTGGATTATTTTTTGTGTGATTTACATTGTTAACTTTTTTAAATATTTTTAGATACCAACCAATTTGTTGGATGGAGGTATTGCACATGGAGGAAATGCTGTAAACAACACTGAAAACAATGAGTCTTCGATGTCCAGTTTTGAAAATACCCTGCTTACATGTTATACTAGTGAAGAAATTCTTCTTTCCAAAAAGTTTCCCCATTCAAGCCAATGCACGGCAACCAGCTATTTAGAAACTGGTACACACATGAAAACTACACACGAAATTGCATCTGATGGCTATTATTACTACATATTTTATAGTGATAACGATTGGAGTCAAAATGATATATATGCCATATTTGATATATACAAACCGACTTACCAGTACGGTAATTATACCATTGGCTGTATTAACCAAACAAATTGCAGTTTTCCTGTTGAGTTTTGGTCAGACGATATCATAGTTGTTGAAGTACCAACAAGGAATGGAATTGAAAATGAAAATGATGATATTACTATTTTAACATCGATATGCCATCCTCGAACAGTTATATATGCCATTTTTCCAATATCTGTTCTATTTATCATTGTTATGTGTGCTTTTCAGTAATGGTTCTAAAAAATACTTCCATATTGATAATAATTCAACAAATATAGACTGAAAAATGTGGAACTTTAAATTAGTATAACAAGACTGGACTTTTTGTAATATTGCTCTAAATGATATATACTGGTAGAGGAACCTTGACAATCATTCAAAATAGTACAATTTGTTTGTAATAATAGTATTATTTAAGAATATGTCAAAGGACAATCAGCTAATAGTGAAGAAAACATATGTTTGTAACAACTAAACAGTTTGTAATATATTTTAGCAATACTACAGATTTATGTGTTTAACAAACAAATTTATGAATCAAATTAAAATGTTTTAACTTAATAATTTGAGTGATGGGAATTGTTTTGAAGTTCTTTTACTAAAATTGTAACTTGTGTGTTGTGCTCAATTGAAGGAAAAGACAGAAATAATGTATGGAAATTTGTTTTTTGTTTTTGTTTGTATAATTTCACTATTTTATGAGGTTGTACCGTGTAACTCTTTGGCTGTGATTACTGTAATGTAGCATAAATAATAATTTAATTTTTTATGTGAGTGGCAATTCAAGTATTTTAATTGTACAATCCTTCAATACAAATTTGAAATTTTGTAAATTTATAAAATATATATTTTTATCTCTTGAAACTATCACCATTTATCTTGATGGTTTTGGTCTGTCTGTGGTACCACCAAAATGGTCAAAATACATCTTTTAGACCAAAACAGCCAGCGTGGATAGGTAAACCATAATGATTGGAAACTACCAAACAAGTTCATGAACTCATCAACAAATTACCTATCGCTAATCAATGAGGATAGGCAGATGAAGATGCTAGGTAACTATCAAACTATAGGTTTATCACCCTGAAGCCAAAGGAGGCCATTTCACAAAAAGTTCCATGTTTATACCACATTTACTAGAGGGAAAGTGATGGATCTAGAACACAAGTAGGTAACAGTAATGGGAACAGAAATGTTTGATGCTGGAACCAAATACTCAAAACTATGGGAAAGAACACCAGTATCATCCATGCTGAAATCCATGCAATTGAGAGATGTACTCAGTTCAATCTGAGCAAAGGGAACAAAACAAGAATATAGCTGTCACGTCAGATAGCCATCAAAGCAGTAAGCGCAAACATCATTTCAAAGATGGTGCTAAAATTAAATTTATTAGGTATTATAAAATAAAGTTACTCACTGCTGGGTGTCAGGACATGTAGGAGTAGAGGGAAACAGAGTAAACGTTCGAGGTAGGGGCTGCTTTACTGCTGTTAGGTCCTTTGCCTTCTACACACTATCAATATAGAGTATCTTAGACAAAATGAAGCTGAGGAAACAGTGGAATTCACTCATTGGACACAAACAATCCAAGAACCTTTTAGCAAGTTTTGAATGGAAAGAAGCAACAGAATGCATTATAGGAAGTAGGAAAAAACATTAAAACCTAGCAGGACCGCAGGCTGAATGAACATTTCAAGAAGATTGGTATAATCCAACATAGAATGTACAGATTTTGCAAGCAAGCGGAAGAGACAGCAACATATCTACTAACGTGGAGCTTACACTTGCATGCAGGAGGAACTGCTTTGGAAGTACACCATAACCATAGAAGAAATTCAACCACTGAAACTGGGGCTACTAATCAAATTTCTTGATGTACTAGGACACACCATTGGGCTATAGATACAGAATGGGGGTTACAATAGATCTCAAAGAGCACAGTATATTACACACCCTGAACATTACATCTACATCACATTTACAGTTTTCACATGTAAAGAGAAAGTGACATTTTATTTTCATCTCTAAATTGAATTTCAAGTACAAAGTGCAATTTGATCACGTCAGTTTGTAGTCAGTGCCTTTTTTTCTTTCTTTTCATTCAAATGAAGAAAAATGTAATTTAATCCTTTAGACATGTGCAAACAATTAAAAATGATCATTTTTTCTCTATGTTAGAAAAATACTGAACTTAATTATTACCCTTTTTAATAGGAACAAAATAGTGTTTAATTGAATAGATGCATCAAAAGTGAATAAATGGAGAAATTATATTTGATTTAAGATATTAAATCCGCATGAGTTGCACAATTTGCACTTTAACCCTCATTAATAACACATTAATCATTACCAAATATTTGATTTGGTTACATCAAACTTATATTACTTGCACAAGAAATCTGTCCTTGATTATAATGATGTTTAAATAATTTGTAGTACATATTTTCACTACCAGCAGAATAAATTAGTCTAAAATTATCATTGTGCCCTGAAATCCTTATTGTCTACTAAATGCAATTGATCTTAGAAATGATTTCAATGTAAATTTGTTATTTAAACTCAATTGGGAATAAAATAATTTTTCAATTAACTCGGATGCACTTGACCAAGTTCCTGATTGATTTCCAAAGCACAAAGCACTATGCCATTGATTGAATACAAGTCATTTTAATAATGATAATATATTAATAAATGCACTTATGAGAAATGGAAATGTATTAAAGTTCTGAAAAAAGCTTAATGTTTTAAAAATGAACTTGAAAGAAGAATGAAGTCAAATGAAGCGTTTGAAGACTTCTCTGGGCAAGGCAATACTAGTTGGATATTTTTCAATTGTACTCGCATGATACCACAAATAAGTAGATTTTGTACCTTTATTTTATTTATTTAATTATTTTTATGAGGGTATTTCAACTATGGGGTTATACCTCAGGGGCCAGTGTTTTTGAAAAAAGCCCATTTGTAAGTATGTTGGGTGTATCTTTATTTGTTGAAATACATATTTTTTGGCAGAATTAAGTTATTAACATTTTTACATTGCAACATTTGAAATCAATTCTTTCAATGTTTACCAAGAAATTTGTTTTTATTTGAAAATTAAGAAAATTCCGCCACAACCCATTAAGCAGGTGGTACATTATTTTTCTTATAATGCATCAAAAAATACACCACCTCATAGCCTTTCAATGTATTTTAACATTATTGTGGAATTTATTGTCAAATGGAATTATTTTTCAGACAAGAAATACCTGTTATTTTTTCCAATTTCCAAGGAATAAAGTACTATGTCTGATATTGATTTAATGATATATTATTTGTGAATATTAATTTTGTGTAAACCTTAAGTTCATATCCATATATGTAATTAGTAGTCATAATTGACTGCATTATTTTAATTAATTATAATTTTTTACCTAAGGCCTTGGTTGAGATTAAAAAGCTAATGTCACAAGCAGGATTTAAACTCACGATCTTTGGCTCAATACACTTGCTCTAACCACTTCAGCTATTGTAACAGCGGCATATTGAGCCAAAGGTCGGGTTCGAAGCCTGACACTAGTTTTTTCACCTCACCAACAACCTTAGCATGTAAAAAGTGTAATTAATTAACTTAATTACATATACTTTTATACAGGGGCAACCTTATTTTTTAGTCTAATGATTTTACCGCCTTACCAGCAACCAACCTAAAAAGTTTTAACTGTGATTTAGTAGAACAATAAAACATGAATCAATTTAAAGACCAATACTTACCATCAACTTTAAAATAATATAAGTAAAATAAAGGATTTTATTCCGTTTAAAGTATTTATTTCATCTGTGTACTGGCAATTGTGTTTTCCCATTTATAAACTATAGTGAATGAAATACTTCAACTTTAACTATGTAAAAAATGTATTTGTATCATTATTGACAATATTGTTATAAATGGAGATGAATAAAGTCAAGACAATAACCCCAAATTCCAGAACCCCAACGGGAAGTCCATTGAGGCAAGAGCAAAAACCATCCTTACCAGAGTATCACCAAAGAGCAGCAAGAAGAGAAAGTTAAAGATGGGAAAAGAGAGAAGGACTTCAAGCGACAAAAAGCACTGGCTCAGTGACATCCAGTCAGGGAAATTACAAGAGGTAGATGATGACTAAAATAAAAAATAAAAAATAAAATAAAAAGATCTCAAATTGATCTCTGCTCTTCAAAGAGCGATGCTTGAGAGGAAAGGTGATGCGTGCCAGATCCGAGTGCGGAACAACTTTCTCACTGCCTTCAGGTTACAGGAAGAAAGTTATGAAGAAAAACAGAAATCGCAGAAAAGGAAACAACTGGACGAAAAACAAGAAAAGAACAATAAAGAGGTTAAGAAAATAGGAAAACAAGGCAAACAAGCACACTGCAAAGAAAGCCTCGAAAAATTGGTGCCAGTATACCTTACTGCAACAACGAGAGTGGTATCATTCCCACTAGGAATTTACTATCCTCGACTTAAGCAAATTGCCCCTCCAATTCCGGCAGTGGTTAAGTGTGGAGTGCCAAAAAGTATTCATGCTTGAAGACCAATGTCTCATTATGCAGTTAAAGTGTTTCAAGAAAAATCTTTTAAAAACAGTTTAATAGTGTTAAGCGTCAAAATAAATTTAATGTATATTCTGTATTATAATAAAATAAATTTTGTAAGTTTTAGTTTCTCAAACCATATCAGAATAATATGTAGATATGTGAGTCAGTGGGTCTGTCACACTGAAGATGGTGATAGCCAAAACATGTCTGCAGACCGACACAAATCAAATTTTGGATTCATCACTCTTCATACCTCAGAGGAAATCTAAAGAATTTGCACTAAAAGGTCTTAAATGTGCTGTTTATACATCGTCTCTATATTTAATTAGAATAGCATAATATGTTGAATTGAGTCGCAGACCAATTCCCACCACCAACTTTAAAATAATATTAGTAAAATAAAGGATTTTATTCAGTTTGTAGTATGTTTTTTTTTCATCTGTGAACTCGTAATTGTGCATAGACTTTACAAACAATTATAATACAAATTTTTAGAAATTATATTTTTATCTTTTATGAAAGAAAAAGTTTCAGTAATAGAAAATACAAGTTATTGCACTAAAAGTTGTTATTCGGCAGTTGTTAATTGTGGCATTGTATACGTTACCTTTGTTAATAAAACAAAATAAAAAGCTTCTTTGTAAATAAATCGCTGTGAAAAATAAGTTCAATTCCACTTAAAGTATTGTTAAAATTTGCTTAAAGTCATTTTCCTAGCGAAACGAGCAGATTTTGAATAAAAATCGCTAGTGCCTTTATGATCAGACTAAACGAACATTAGCAGTCAGTGTGAACCAAATATTTATTTATTTGATACCATTAATCTTTTCGTTTAGATCAAAATTGACTCGTAATAAAATAAGAACAGATAGAAATTCCAGTCCAATTTTTCTAAAATCGCTTTAATGAGAAAACGTGAGAAATGGAAAATAATTTGAGCGCATGGATACGAAATCCCGACTTCTTCCTGTGTTAGTCTTAGTCCTTTCTTCCGCAAATACTCGAGTGGAACATGTCGGTAAATTCGTCTGAAAAAAGGTAAATATTAAACTCTATTACGTTTATTGTCTTTTACGCTTCTTAGTTCTATTCAAATCTCGTTATATCGTACATTTATTTAACGGAATTGATCTGAGTGTTATTACTTCGAAAATAAAAGAATGCCGATACCCTAATTCTCGCCGACCTTATGCCTACCCTTAATGCCAACATGGCGTGGTTTACAATTAAAATTGTTATTTATCCCTTTTCAACAGGACGGGCTTATAAACGAGACTGTTCCGACGATAATTTTGAGTCGATTTAAATTATTTAAAGAGTTAAAACGGGGCAAAGCTCGCCTGATGCGGGTGAGGGAAAGTTCCGAGCTTTTTTTAAGGTTATATTTTGTCCCGCACAATAGCCTTGATTTTTCGCAATATTACTTCCTTTATTTTAGCACATTATTTTTCGGGTTTTTTCGTGAAATTCGAGATCCTCTATTTACGTCCGGTTGTTTACATAGTTGTTGTTTTTTTAAACTTTACGTCTATTGAATAAAAACGGTCCACGTTTGTCTCATGGGCTTTTCTCATTTACTACATTAGTACATTCAGCACTTAACGCAATATTAAGGAAGTACGGTTTTTTCCCCTAGAAATAAACGAAAATTACACAAATCTACCGAATAAATATCCAAAGCCCGAGGGTGAATTCTTTCCACGGTTAATACATGAAAAAAGCATGATCTGCCAACCATGTTTTAGGCGTTTACGCAATTAAAGATAATTGTAAAATCTTAAAAAAAAGTCGTTTTGGCCGTTTTAACGCCAAAAAACCTTAAAAGCGCGCAACTTTTGGTGTAAATTAAACGGGCGGCCGGCGTGGGCCATGAGGACGATCATTCTGCCATTCACCGTTTCGTTTACTCGTCTCTACTCTTTGTTTTCTCACTTCGGTTTCAATTTTATTTGATCAAACAAGCAAATGAGAGGTAGGAATTTATCAATAATTATATAACTAAATGATACTTTAAAAAAATCAAGACCCTTTGAATGCAAGATTATTTATGTAGATTGTTGCACGTTTCTTATTGATTTTTGCATATAAAACTTGGTTCATATTTTTTATTTAAACTCATTTATATCAAACATGTATATTTATTTCAAATTTATCATATATATGCTTTTTAACAGGTACAAAAATGTTTCATTCATTTATCCATTAATGTATGTATTATTTTTTAAAATGTGCTATGCCCACGGCACTTTTTTTGTTTCATTCGATTAATTTACGTTCATTCAACTTAGTTCCAATGTGCATATCTCAATACTTAAAGTATTCTCTGATCATCGGATGCGAGTTCAAAGGTGTATTTGCACGTGTTTTTTTACTCTCGAGAGTAAAACTCTCAAGTGTAAAGGCCTCTGAGAGTTCTCGCCGAAAGTAGAGATTGTTTTCCGAGAGGTGCAATGTTTCACCACACACTCGGAGAATACTCTCAATCATTAAAAAAAAAATGAATTTGCTGATAGTAAAATACCAAATCCAATACAAAATGGACCCACAAGGTTGTTTGCAAGCTCATTGAAGCATACAAATTAAATCCGATCCTTTTGGGACATCCAGAACCCAGATTTTAAAAATATAGTTTAAAAACCTTGTGATGGAGAATTTAGCGACAGACTTCAATTGTCTGGCCCCTAAAATTATTCGTAGGGCAACCATAAGGCGCTCACGAACAGAATTGCTTTTCTATTTCTGTGCTAAAGCATGGCACATCCCAAAATGATAACTCTGTATCCATGACTTGAACCCCTCCCCCCCTATAAGCACAAAGACATCTTGTCTAAAAATCACTCAGAACTGTCCAGTGTGTGTAAATGGTCTGAAGCACTCGCAAGAGTTGCCATGGAGAGTTGTTCTTTGCGAGTGAACTCTGGCGAATTTCGCTCTTCTGAGTAAAGGGATCTGAGAGTAACTATCGAGAGCTCCAGCTGCAAAGTTCCTCTCATGTGTCAACACACCTAAACATCAGCCAATTTATTCTCACTTATTTAATTATGTTGCAAAATGGTTATTCAATTAAGTTTGTGACTTGTCAAATTTTTTTACTAAATTGTCTATATGTAATCTAATATTACATACATGTATGTATACATATACATATAGGTACATTTTTTTTAAATTGTGGATAACTCACGTTAAATTTTTATTTTGTTTAATTAAGTTATATTCCGAGTTAAACTTCATTGCATTGAGTGGATCTCAATATTTGGAAGTATTTAGTCGTCTACGAGTTGAACATCAACCCGGGCCATTTTGGTTTGACTCATTTAATTATTAGGCCGTATACTTGATCAAATTAAGTTTGTGACAAATATTTTATTTTTAATAACATATTTTTTTATTCATTTATCCATTAGTGTGTGTACCTTTATTTAAATTCACTAGTTTTTGTGGTCCGCTTGACCAATTTATTTGTTTAAATTGTGGTAAGCCTGCATGCCCCTTTAAAATTTGGTTCAATTAATTCAAACAAGTCTTAATTGAGCTTACTTTGTTGCAATGGGTGTACTTGGAAGTATTCTCACTCGTGAGTTGAACCAGCCAGCTCACCCTGGCCATTTTGGTCTCATTTAATTATTTTGCAGAAATTTAAATGAAGTTTGTTATGTTACTCTCATTTTTTCTAAATATCCATTAATATATGTACAATTTTAAAATTGAAGTAAACCCACTTGCCTTTTTTTTTTACATTTGATTAATTTACATTCAAAGTTAAAATTTTGGGTGTATTTCAATATTTGGAAGTATTCTCAGGTCATCTGTGAGTTGAATATTGCCCAGTCATCTCAGACCATTTTGATCTATTATTTTGCATAATATTTAATCAAATTAAATTGTTTGTAACTATCAAACATTTACTAATGTAAATTGAAACAAAAGTTCAGCTGAGGTCTCGAGGTAGATCATGTAGTTAGGGGTGAAAGAAGGGAGGTGATAAATTTTACGGATAAAATAGCGTTGTAGGGATTCAATTGTTTCATATCATGGTTCTCTTCCTGGAATACCTTGGCTCAACAATTTCAGCTGAATGACAATTTTTCCCTGGACAATTTTAAAGAGTGGCCACTTTTACACTCATAATTGATTAACAATATCCGCACCTCTCACACAGTGAAATGTCTCCTTCATGCTCAAAATTCCTCTAGGGTTTTGCTGTATAAGGGCATTAATATCAAACAACCTTTCTTGAACATAGCGCAGATTTCTAACATTCTGTCCATTCCGCTAGCTCACTGGTTTTTCAACATTAGGTGCGAGTTACTTTATCTTAATAACCCCACAAGAGTCAATAGTTCCGATAAGTGCTCTCTCTGCAACAGGCAGGCTCGAGAAGATTGTTTTCAATTTCTAGCAGAATGCCCAGTTTTAGTGGAATTCTGAGCATGGCATATAGGCTTGCCTACATTGACTAGAGAGCACCTAATCTCTTTATTAAATAACCCTGAGTCCTTAAATCTAGTAAAGTTTGCGATGGAAGCCTGGAACTGCAGGAAAATGCTTGTTTTTTATTTCAATTATTAAATGTTTATTGTATATATCAGACACACTGGTCATTTATATGTGCATAAGTGTATGTAAATATACATATATATGCTGTTATTTTAGTTTACTTATATAGTCTCTCTCTCTCTCTCTCTCTCTCTCTCTCTCTCTCTCTCTCTCTCTCTCTCTCTCCCNCTCCCTCTCTCTCTCCCTCTCTCCCTCCCTCCCTCATTACTTATTGAAGTGTTGTGGGGTCATCTACAAGGTGAACATCAGCCCGGTCATCCCAATCCATTTTGGTCTGTCTCATTTATTTATTTTGCAGAATACCTAGTCAATTTTTTTTAAACTTTAAATTCACCATTTTTCGTGGTACACTTGACCAATTAATATCATTCAATTAATTAAGGTTGTTACGTTGAGATAAAAAAAGTCAGTGTCACGAGCAGGATTCGATTTTTTTAAACTATCAAACATTTTTTAAATTAAATGTACATTTATTTAAATTGTGGTAAGCCCGCATGCCTTTTTTTTTTTTTTTTTTTTTTTTTTTTTCATTCAATTAATTTGCATTCTCATGATTTAACTTTCATTGATAAACAAAAATTGATACTGTTGAATGTGAATGAAAACTTTTGATGTGCAAACCATTATGCATCTAACCATCTTAATTTTTAATTTAAATGAGCAATAGTGAGCCTGGCAATTTGCATTTCTTTTACAATAGAGTGTGTTTTCTCTTACATATTTATTTAGGCTCATAAAGTCCAAGCTATCTTGAGGCGTGCATGGGGTTCATAAATTTCCGCAAACTTTGTGCCAAAAAACATGCAGTAGAGTAAAAATCATGAGCCAGAAAACATCCATGTCACAAGTCATGTGTCATCTTGAACGGAATGACTTGCTTGAATGAAAGTGACTGGTCCAAACTTCAGTTGATCAACTCTGTTGTCACAATAGATCCCATCCAACTGATCGTGAGAAAATAACTTTAGTTCAACGTTATTGCAAGTAAACTTCATTTTTATTGGAACGTTTAAATCTTTTCATCAGCCCATATGTAATATTTTTCATTTTACTCAATTAAGTTGTACTGTATTATCAGCTTAAATTTAGCATAATGTGGTGTAATCTTAACTTAAAATTTTGTTGGGTTATCTGTGTGTTGAATATCATCCTGATTGCCTCTTATCATCTTGGCCTGGGCCTAAGGGCATATACTTATTCAAATAAGTTTATTAATATTAAACATTTATAATTTGTTGGAGTCGTTAGGAGCGTTCAAGAATGAGGTAGTATAGAAAAACTCCCTTTTCATTATTTCGCCGTTTCAACCTTTATTCGGGTCATCTCTAAATGACATTTATATTCATTTTAAGATTTATTATATATCATTTTTCCATTGTTCAATTAAGGATCCGTTGAATTCAATATCGATGTACATTTTGTTGGTATACCTGTAAGTTGACCGTCAGCCTGATATTTGCTGAACCGTCCCTAACTGCTGATAATCAGTCTGACCTGTATCAGCATTAAAAGACAGCAGTTAGGCATTTTTTCAACTTGTTTGTAATTATCAAATTTTTTAAGATTTCTCATGTGTATGCTTTAAACAAGAAACAGATTTGTTTTTCATACATTGCTCGCAGAAGCCGTGTCAGTTTGGCTAATTTTATCTGTATTATCAAAGTGAGGCAGTTAAACGGTGTATTAATAATGTGCAGCATATTATGTTATTAAATGGTGTATTAATCCGGCTTATTTTTTTTAACATCCAAAAAATTCTAGTGGAAAGTAGGCCATATTAGGGGATGTGACGCACATAGTATGTTCAAAATGAATGTAATTTATCTGTTTAAAATTAATATATAATTAGTCATCCATCATTTTTAAATCGTGCTTTAAGAATTTGTCTATTTGATTTATATGCAAATAAAATGCAGCGGTTAATGTTACAAATCTTGTTGAGACTAGTGATCACATGTTTGACTACTGGGTTCAGATTAAAATTTTAAAAACCCTAAGTTATTTATTACATTTGTTAGTTATTAATATATGTTATTTAATAATTATTTATTTTATCATTTATTTAAAGCAGTGAGAAAAAATGTTTTAATCACGTGTATAAAATTTAGAGGTCCAGTCTGATAAATGATTAAGATAATACAATGATGACCCTCAAAGAGCATGATAGTAATATTTTCTTGATATAGTGCGATAAACATTCTTATTCTAATTAAACACCTTAATCATTAAGATTTACTAGATTTATTTAAATAAGGATTATAACAATTAATAACATTTTCAGAGAAGACTGGGAAGTTGAGTCCAAACATGCCAGTGACTCATACTCCTCCGGCCCTATGGGAATGGTCCCTGATGGAGTCATTGAATCCAGCTGGGATGAGGTAACATTGCAATTATTCTCTCCATTTGAAATATTGTGAATTGACGCCGAATTTGATTTAAATCAAAAATTTCCCTATATTTGTAGGTTGTTGACAATTTCGATAATATGAACCTCAAGGAGACTTTGCTCCGTGGTATTTACGCTTATGGTTTTGAGAAGCCGTCGGCCATCCAACAAAGAGCAATTCTTCCTTGCGTCAAAGGTCATGATGTCATTGCTCAGGCTCAATCAGGCAAGTTTTTATTTCAACCGATTATACTTTTCTATTAAGGTCGAGAGATTTATGCCTGAAGTGTAAAAATTGATATCACATTGTGTTAACTTAAATAACTATTTCAATTAATTCCCTTTTTATCTAAGGTCTTGATTAAGATAAAAAAAGTTAGTGTCATGAGCAGGATCCGAACCCATGACCTTCGGCTCAATGCACTGCTGCTCTAACCACTTGAGCTGTTGTAACACTAATTTTTAATCCCAACCAAGTCCTTAGATAAAAAAGAGTAATTAATCAAAATATTTAATATGTCAATTATGACAGTTAAAGATATATGTTAGATTAAATAATTATATTGATTTTCTTTCTCCTCCAGGAACCGGAAAAACTGCAACATTTTCAATATCCATTTTACAAAAAATTGATACAGATTTGAACGAGACACAAGCTCTTATTTTAGCACCTACAAGAGAATTAGCACAACAGGTAAAACAAAAGTAAAATTAACGCATGAGCTTATTTATTAAAATAAATAATTTGGCTTAAACATTTGTTGTGGTTGTTAAACATTTAGGATATATTGTTTCTCTTTTCAGATTCAAAAGGTTGTTGTAACATTGGGAGATTTCATGGGTGCTCTCTGTCATGCTTGCATTGGAGGAACCAATGTTCGGGAAGATATTAAAAGGTTAGAAGTCGGTTGTCATGTACTTGTTGGAACTCCTGGAAGAGTGTATGACATGATCACAAGGAAAGCCTTAAGTAAGCTAAGCTATTGACAATTTAATTTAACATCGATGAAGCACCCCGCTGTTGATTAATATTTTCTTTGGTGTTTGATCAGCCTTCTCAGTTTAAATATACTTTCCTAAAGGTAGATTGGGGATAGGTTGGCCTCGTCCCCAATCTACCTTTAGGAAAGTACAATTTAATTTACTTAACCACTGTAAACTACTTTTATTTTTGCTTTGTTACAGAAACACATTCCATCAAGATTTTTGTTCTTGATGAAGCTGATGAAATGTTATCAAGAGGTTTCAAAGATCAAATTCATGATGTATTCCGAACCCTTAATGGGGATGTACAGGTTAGTTAAGTTGTGGTTGAGAAATGTCTTTTTTCTTTATCGGTTAGGAAAGTTATACCTACACACACACACCGTATAATTTAAGGTTATCTTGCTTTCTGCAACAATGCCCCCTGATGTCTTGGAGGTCACATCAAAATTTATGAGGAAGCCCGTAAGCATTTTAGTCAAAAAAGAGGAGCTTACCCTTGAAGGTAAGGTATATTTGCTTCTGTATAAACATGTTGCTTTAATGTAAATGAATTTTTCCCCCCTCTAAGGTATTAAACAATTCTACGTGGCTGTTGAGCAGGAGGAATGGAAGTTAGAAACCTTAACTGATTTGTATGATACTTTAAGTATTACACAAGCTGTAATATTTTGTAATACACGTCGTAAGGTTGATTGGCTTACAGAAAGCATGCACTCCAGGGATTTTACGGTTTCAGCTATGGCAAGTATTTTGTTTTTCCTTTTTCAAATGAAAATAGGTTTAGGGAATATAAATTTTTGTTAAGAGTACATCCATTATAACCACATGACTGAATTTAATTTATATAATTATTTTACAGCATGGTGATATGGGCCAAAGAGAAAGGGAGTTGATTATGAAAGCTTTCAGGAGCGGATCCAGTCGTGTATTAATCACCACAGATCTCCTCGCTCGCGGAATCGATGTTCAACAAGTATCGCTTGTTATTAACTATGATTTGCCATCGAATCGTGAAAATTACATTCATAGGTACAATTTGTTTTATGCTCATCCTATCCTTTGTGTATGATTTACTGATTGACTTTGTTGTCTTTTTGTTCTCAGGATCGGTCGAGGTGGACGGTTTGGTCGTAAAGGTGTAGCTATTAACTTTGTAACTTCAGAAGACAAACACACATTGGAGGATATCCAGAAATTTTATAACACTGAAATAGAAGAAATGCCGATGAATGTAGCAGATCTCATCTGCTAAAGGTCTTTATTTAGAAGATTAAACAAAAACTAATGATAATAAAATTACAAAAGATAATATCAGTGTGAGTACCGGGAATGTGATTTTCCGTTGTTCGCGCATATTTTTTCTTGTTTTAAAAATTGGTCTGCTTATGTTGTGCTGTTGATTGTCATCAAGATCTACAGTTCAGTGGCTAAAATTCATTAATTGACTTAAAAGGATCTACTTGTCTTGGTGGACAAGACAGTAGTCTCCTATTTTCACCATCCCCCCTCTGGTTTAAAAAACCTTGGGTTTTTTAAACTCTTTTTGTTTTATTTTTGTTTGTTAATTAATTATTAATTCATATATATATATTATATTATATAAATAATTATTTTTCTCTTATTGTAAGTAGATTTGTACGGTTAGGAATCAACTTTACATTTGTGTAATTGAAGTAATAAAAATCGTGTCGGGGCTTAATTAAATTAAAGAATATTAACAACCGTTGGCCCAAGAGTATTTTCTTATATTAAAATGAATAAAAGTAAGCCTTGCGTCTCTCTTGTTATAATGATTTACACATTTGAAAATTACTTCTTTCGTTATCACTTTGTACTACACAACAGCATTGAATTCCAGTTTCAAATTAATAAATTTGTGATGCTTTACACTAATAAAAAATTATTCATTTGTCTAAATGTATTTTATTATCTAGAAAAGTGTACAATAGGGTTTTGGATGGGGTATTACAATCAAAAATCTTGCAGGCGGAAAAAAATAACAGTGTATGTACAAAACAGCTTTGTTCAGAATTTTGTAATCTTAGATTGAATAAATACATTTACTCAACTCAGTGCATGAGTTAAAAGCAGCAATATTCTAAAACCTCTGTTTGTGCAATTTTCTTATAAATTTTTTTTAAAGCATTGAAATTATTTTATTCTTTAAAAGAAAAATAATAAGATTTTGTTTTTGTATTTACAGGAAAGTTTTACTCTTCACATCTGGAGGACTTTTTTTGGAAATAAAGATCTAAATTTCCTAAAGAAGGTTCTACAAACAGTGGTTTTACTTTTACCCTTCAAATTATCCCAAATCCCTTAACAGTTTATAATTGGTATCCAGATTTATTTATACGAAAGTAATTTTTTGGTTTATATTAAATAGTTTTGCATTTTTACTCCATTCTATTGCATAAAATTTGTATTTATAAATAAATGTTTTAAAGATAAAAAAATTACAAATTTCTAGATTACCCCCCTTCGTATAACCACTTTAGATTAATTAGAAGTAGTTGCAAAAATTTGATTGGTGTACAGTTTATTTTGTGTTAAATATAAAGTAACAAATTTTTTAACCACAAAGAAAGCAAAAATTTATTTTCAAGTTCATGTTTTTTTAGTCACTGAATTAAGATCTTGTATTAGCAGTAATATTAATTTCGTTTTTATCCCCAGATATTTTTTCGTTTTTTGTTAACTGCAACGGCTCAGAGGCTGGTATGAACAGTGCAGGGGAGTTTACACAGGAGTTGTATTATAGACAAAGCGCTTGTATTGTAATAAAATCTGGTTTTTATATAAAGGGACTTGTTATCTGATTATCAAATAAAACTTATTTTAAGTTCTGAATCCCATAATCCCGACAGATGGCGGCGGTATTAACTGCAGTTTCCAAAATTGCATAGATTAAAAAATTGAGTGATATTGATATCAAATTACTTGAGGTTCTAACAATTTTGACTCATGATTTTCGTTTTAGAATAAAAGTACAAATTATAGCAGGCATTACTTAATGTTACATAATTATGTAACAATATTGCTGACAAGAGCGAAATCATATACATAGACTTATGTTATACTTTACATAAATTTAAACAATTTTTTCCAAAATGGGCTTTAAAAGTGCCATGTAATAGTAACATAAAACGGTGCAACCATTTTCAACACTGCTTTTAGTAGGCATAAAAGGTCCACAAAAATGCATTTTTATTAATACACAGTATAAAATTGGAAGCACCCAACAGAAAGCGCAACATAATACATAATTTTCTATTAATGTACACATAGTATCGTAAAAAATACACTTCAAATAATAATATACTGCAATTTTATTTCATTTATTTGTTTTAAGTATATACAAACTATTTGTTGGAATCAACCATGTTTAAGAAATTCATGAGAAAAATATTTGAAGTTATATTTTTTTAATACTAACAGAATTTGTATTAAACCTTGTGGCAAAGGTTCGTTTTTAACAATAAATGTTCTGACTTTATTTGTTCAGCACATTATTACATTATTGGGGTTTGTCACGAGGTCGAGATGACACATGGAACCTACCAAAGCTATTGAACCTATTGAAAAAAGTAATTATAATTTACAACTTTAAATTGTTAAAAATATATCTAATATAAATAAATATATATGAAACGGGAAAAAATAGCAAAAGAAAAAGTGTTGCTAAATTCTACATTTACTTTTGTTGTAGTGTTTAAAAATTTAACATTAGATTTTGTTTGTTTTCACCAGCAGTGTTAGATTATATTTTTTGATATTTTATTTCTTGGTAAGGAAGTGCAGACTATAGGAAAGAAAGTGTTACTGGAAGAAAGAACGAAAAATAATATAAAATATTTTTTTTTTTTTTTAAATATATATTCCATGATTACAAAAAAAGTTAAGGGGTGTTGGTGGCTACAATGGTATAGGCACTGTAAGGTAAAGGTCCCAGATTCAAATCCAGCAGCCTAGCATTCGAGCCCAACATACTTACTGTTATGTACAGAACAATTAATCAAAACTATAAATAAATTTAACAATGATGATCCTTTCGATCTTAAAACTATTTTACAACGATGTAAAATGAATCGCCCATCTAGATATCACCAAGTTTGGTGTGGATCAGAGATTTGGACACAAAGAAGTGAGTATTGTAACTTCGTGCCAAGCTTTCAATCTTTAATACTGTCAGATCTACGTTACATTGTCATAAATAAATATGATTACAATAAAGCATTTTTAAACCTCTAAAAATTAATGAAAAGGACAATAGATAACAATTAAATCTTTATTATGAAGTTATTTATCAAATGAAAAAAGTATGACTAGATTTATTTTTTATAAATATGAACATACTATATATTTTATTATTATATTAAATAATATTGTATTATTATTTTAATTGTATAAATAACTTTATAAGGTTTTAATTGTTATTTATTGTTTTTTAGAAGTTTAAAAATGTTTTATTGTAATCGAAATTATTTATGAATGTAAGACCGTTATAAAGTTTGAAAGCTAGGCGTGAATTTACAATACTCACTTATCTGTGACCACATTCCTATTCGGCTACAAATTGGTTATATTTTTCAAATTTTAGGAAAAATTGAAAACATAAGTGATGACATTTTAGTTTTTTTTTTTTTTAAGTTTGTCTCAATGATTGTTTGAAAATCGTGAGATGCGGTATTATGTGATGTAGGTTTAAAAAAATTATTTATTGTGCCAATATTTCAATCTATTTAGATCATCTTAAGGGCCTGGGATTTACAAATAGTGTTTGGATTATACAAATACATGTAAGATGTAAAAATGAATTTAAACAATGATGTACACAATATAGAAATTTTAGGTTTATTCAAAGAATTTGTACTCACTCAAAGTGGGTGTTTTTTGTGTAAATGTGTCACAGTTGTGCGTCGTGTTGCAAATGATAGGAAGATATGTTTTTTGTTTATATATGTTGTTTTGTCTCAACATTTCCTAATATTTCATCTTAATGAAACGTATGACATTTAAAACATTGACAATTAAAGAACCAGATTTCTTCATTAAAAAAATTGACCTTTACATAGAAGTTTTAAAAATTTATTTCTGTTCTAGCAAGTGCTGTGCATAGAATAGAAAGTAATATCAATATAACCTATGCATGGTTAGGAATAAGTAATAGTATTATATATTATTTATATTTTTGATAATGGAGGAAACATTTACTGGTGGATTTTATATTTAGAGTTTAGAATTAGGGAAAAGGTGTTAAATTTTTAATATTTTATATTTCGAATTCGTTCGTTTAAGGCGGGTTTTGTCGCGAGAGCAAGATGGCACGTGCGGCCTACCCAACAGAAAGTAGTACCAAAAGCGTGACATTTTCACTACTAATTTATAGGAAAAAGTTAAAACTAAAAATTAACCATATGTTATAATGAAAGAGTGAAATTTTTAAGAGGAATTCCGTCAAAATGTTTTGGCCGTAGTCGATTAAAATTTGAAATGAGAAGGCGGATGAATACCCGACTGGTGAGCAGGAGTGAAACTCGGTGACTCCTTTTCATTTCGTCTCACATCCGGCTCGTGTCGTATACTACCGTTCGTTCCGAAACTAGCAACACACTTCTCGGGGTATATTTTCGCAATAAAGCGGCCGACGCAGGGGAGTAGAGATCGTCTGTGCTAAAACAAAAACAACACAAAGTTCAATTCGTTAGCTCTTGGTATTAAATTTTGAGTGCAGTGACTAAAAATGAGCTGGCAGGATTACGTGGACAAGCAATTGCTCGCATCGAGGTGTGTAACGAAAGCCGCGATCGCTGGCCATGATGGAAATGTTTGGGCCCGATCAGAAGGATTCGAAGTGAGTTTAATACATTTACCGCTATTTTAACTATTTACTAATTTTAAAACAGCATTTTACAATTTAAATAACTATGTGTATTATTTTGAATTCATATAGTCTTAAAATTTCTTATAAACCCTTCTAAGCCTTCGGCCGGATTCAGGTGCCGGCGTTGGGTTAGGAACGGTCTAGGCCGACTGCAGACATAAAACAAAATCGCCGCTCATTCACCCGGCATACTTTTTTTTCAGAAAAAAAAACGTTTCTCATTATTTAAAATACATCTTATACCAATTTGCAGGTTTATGAAAAATTTATTAGCCAACCATAACCTTAAAAAAAACTATCCTTAACTTTTCTCCTCTGGGTTTTCACATCCTTTACACCTTTTAACTTTTGCACTACAAACCCTGCATCATCCTTTATTTAGAACTTAAAAGGAAAATTTTTTAACAGAAAATTATTTTTCTACAGAATCATGTTTTCATCTAAAAATAAAACCGCTTTTGTTTCCTTTTAAAAACCCCCTCCAAAAAAAACTTCCAGCATTAAAATTCCTAAAACGGACCTCACGACCAGATATAATGATTTTTTGAAAGCTAAAATCAAAGAAAATTAACAATCCTCTGTTTCATCTCGGCAAATAGCTTATAAAAGTCCGGCAGGACGTTTTTGACGCCCCTTTTATCCGCCATGTTCAAGTTATATGTAAAAAAAATCAATTCCAATTTTATACGTTTTATCAACTTGTGAGAAAAATGAAGTTTTCTCCTCATTGTGCTTCTTTCCCTGTGCACCACTTTAAAAAATTAATTTTATCATTTTTACTGGGTTGAATTGATTTTTTTCTAATAGGCCTTCCTAGGGTTTTCGGAACAATTATTCTATTAACATTTCATCGTTTTAAGAAAGAAAAAATTGTTTAATTTTAGTATTAATGATTTTCTATTGTTTTAACTCAGTCAGGGATCCTAGTAAGAATAATTTTTGTTATTGTGAACAATCACATTAAAGCTTTTAATTAAAAAAGACATTGGTTTTTTTTTTAATGCAGATTGTAAAGTTTTGCTAGTTTATTAATCTCACATGTTCAATTTTTTTTAAATTCACACACATTTCGTACAACACGTTGTTAATAAAATTGTACAAAACTTAAAAGAAAAAATGCCATTTTGTGATCAAAGATAATGTTCATTTTTGACTGTGCATAATGTATAACTTGTAAAAATAACGTAGTTATTTTATTCGTTTTAATAAAATAATTACCTTTTTATTTTATACGTATGTAAAAAAAAATGCAACATACATTCGTACACGTATATATTTCACAAGATATATTTCATATCACCATATCACTACGATGATTTTCAAAGAATAGCTCGTGGGGGTCGTGAGTAGTTGGTTTTAACGAAATCACTAACAATAAAGTTACATCGTCATTTTATACGTATATAACAAATATTTTATAAAAGAGTATGAAATTGCACTTTATCATGAGGTTGATGGTTTACCCACAAACGGCCATGATCCGGATATCGAGCATTGTATGCTCACCTCACCATCAGTCTATGCAAGTAATCCACGTGTACATTACTGAATGGATGAGCCTCGGTTGGATGGAACTACAAATCCAATTTTATGTGTAGAACCATATTCTTCACTATTATTGAATTTATGTATCCAAATTACCTCCTAGAAAGCGGGGGAGGAAAAAAATATAGTGTTAACAATTACGTCTTCCTTTGGTTTTTCATTTTACAACCTGAAATTTGAAATGTTTGAAGTTTGGAAGGTTGAACTCTTTAAAAACATTCATTCCCCAATGTTGTTTTTTTCCTTTGTATCTAGGCCTGTTCCACAGGTCCCTCGTCAGGGCTGATGATGATGTGACTTGTGGAACAGGGCGAAGTGCATAGCCAAAAATATTAAATAAAAATCCCAACACTGATCTTTAGTGTGTGATTGGTTTTTTAAAGAATTCGACATTTTAACACCAACCATGGTTATTATAGTAATATTGGTTATTTGACATTAAAAAAGTATAAATAATGTCTTGTACAGTTTATCAAAATTAATTTGACGCAAATTAACTTTGTTTTTATTAATCGTTAATTTTTTTTATTAAAAGGTTTTCTTCTTATTTTTTAAGTTCTTATAGGTTTCGTTTCTATGAAGAACAGAAACAAACCGTTTAAAATAAAATAATAGTTATACTACATATTTCAAAGCAGCCTTGTTTCCTTTTCAACATACAAAAATCTCTGTAATAATTCAGGTGCACCTATTATTGGCAAGTAATTATACTTTTATTGAAAATAACCTGCTAATAAGAAGCACACCTAACTTAATACAAAGCATTTTGTATTCTGAATAGGAAGTAAGGCTGCCTGGAAATATATTCTACATAATTTACTTCCAAAAAAAAAAAGCTTGTATTTGTTCTTCATAAAAAAAGAAACTGACAAGTTTATGAAAAATGCTTAATTGTATGGTTTTTTGGGCCAAAATTTCAGAAGTTGTTGGTTTTTCCTTCCAAATATAATTCACATTTTTGTCGAATGAAGCGTTTTACATTTATGACCTGCATCTCGTGGAATTTTGGCCTAGAAAATAACACGACTATGATTATCCGTAATAATAATAAGGATAATCAATACAGAAAAAACAAGATGATAATTACAAAATAAATGTTTATATTTGTTAATAGTGAGAATTATTAATTATTGTCTAAAAGTCAAATGGATATATTTCTCGACAGCTTGCCGAAGGAAAGTGCTTTTATTTCTCTTTCAAATTGGCATTATTTCCTGATTTTTTAAAATACGAAAGGATAAATTATCTTTAACCACAATGGTTCACAAAGCCCTCCTATAATGCGATAATTGTTTAATTGTATTGTATAATATTGAATTTAAAATTACACTACTATATGGATTAGAACAATTGTTTCACAGAATCGTCCGTGAGTCTTTTTAAAACATTTTTTTAGCAGACAAAATTTTTCTTTTATATTTTCATTCTTTTTATTGCCAACAGGGATTACAAGTAATAAAAAAAGGTGACAATTGAAAATGGCCTTTCTCAAAATTAGTCTGTAGTCAATTTGGATGACGGTAATCAGTTTGAGGGGGAAAATGATAAATTTGTATATTAAGTGTGATTTTTTTCTCTACATATGTTATTCAAGTTAGTAATTAAATGTCAGAGAGTACAAATTAACACAAAAATTTAAATATAAATAGTCAATCTATATCAAGCCAAGATATGTCGATGGATGGTCAACTGCAACCTTTAAAGATTAATCCTTAACAACTTTTTTCCCTGGGCTTTTTGCATCCTTTACATCTTTTAACTTTTATACTATAATAGATTAATTGTCGTTGTCGTTCTTACCCTTTCTTGGTAGCTTAAAATCAAAAATATATGCAACAGAAAATTATTTTCTACAGTATCATCTTCTAAATCTAAAAATAAAACCGATTTCGTTTCCTTATAAAAATCTAAAAAAAAGTGAAAACTGACGTATCAACCAGATAGATTTTTTAAGACTTAAAGAAGTAAACAAAATTCTTTGCTGCATCTCGGCAAGTAGCTATAAAAGTAGCTATATAAAGAGTTTAATTTTATTTATTTATTTAATGTTTAGGACAAATTAAAAAAAAAAAAAAACGTAAGTAATCGATCTATAGTTTTTTCAACTAGCAATAATCGCATCTCAGTAGAACTTCATTGATTACGATATTGCCACTGCGCAAGGTAATTCTAACCATCGATCTATATCAAATTGATTAAATGCGTTTTGTTTTTATGCGAAATTTACATGGTGTATCTGAATTTTCTTGTCATGTTTCGGGTCGTAACAACTAAAGTTATGCACATAAAACCTAATCTTGCTATTAGAAACCAAAGAATACTTTTACATAGGGTATTTTATTGCTAGGCGGTTGAAGTAATATAAAGAAGAATCTTAAATTTTACCTTTTGAATTTTTTGTGTTCACCTCTGATGTACATCCGATTGTGTATATGATAGTCTTTAGGCGAAAGAAAGTATTTTTATAATAACTATTAAAAAGGATGTTACGTTTTTGAAAAAAAGTACTGTTCTCACAGCATAGATGTTGAGTCGTAAAAAAACATGAAAATTTTATTGTTAATTTTAATGTTCAGAAATAGTACTTCAGCGTGTAATTTTTTTAAATGGGGAAATGAGCATTCGCTTTTTAATCTGTTTCATGCAAAATTTAAACATCTGAAATATTTGCAACCCCCCTCCGTTGATGAATCTTTCTGAATCCATAATTGTCTATTTGTGTTGAAGGATTTTGAATTTTTAAATTCACTAACGTTGTACTCGCAGACACATTTTTTTATAACTGACCCCTGTTAGGTCCATTATTGACTATTGACCATTCGGAGGTTTTATAGTCTTTGCTATGTTTTAATGGTGTTGCCTATTTTATACTGTTAACACAAACATCTTTATGATTAGTGGTTGGTTTTATGGTTTTACAACAATAAATGCATATTTATGTTCATTAATCTCGCAAATCTATATCTAACAAGGTTCCTCGGTGCTTATATTACTGTAAAGAAGTTAATTAAATGAAAAAAAATTGATTTTATAAAAAGTTAAATAAATCATTTCATTGAATTATTAAAGGTTAAGGGGGAAAACCCTCCTTTTTATTTGTTTAATTAAAAATATTAATAAATGTCAACGGCTTAAAGATGACCGACAAATAGGAAACCCAACTGGTAATTAAATCTGCGCCAAAGGTCGCATCGAAGGTTGAGATTGGAAAGGAAAGTAGGTCATCAGGGCAATTCGTCTGCTTACACCTTGGTCAAACGAGTTGGAAATTTTACGTTCTCAGTTATTTTCACTGCATTGTCCCTTTTGTAATTGTTTAGTGGGTTTAGTTAGTGTTTTACAAAGGATAATAAAGATTTTCTTTTTGTTTAAAAAGTAAATATACAAGTGTTCGTTTTTGATTTTTCTTGTTGTTAATCTTTAATAGTTGAATTATTTCTTCATCGGTTTTAACCCGATCTTTGTTGCAATTGTGGTTGGGAATTTTATGGTTGACTGCAATAGGTCTGGATGTTGGATAAAGATTAGCCGGACGACCTATCATGTTTATCGTGAATCTAAATGTTCTAGTCGAGATACTTCAGATAAAAGCTCCTAATATGTTTGTAAGCATTCTGCAAAAGCCATTGACATATCGGTTTAGCTGAAAATGGCAATGGAAAGTCTTTAATTTACCTTGTGCCTTTCAGTTTAAAAAACAAATAGGCGGTGGTAAAACATGTTAAGATTTTAATAAAGGGGTAAACGATGAAACGAAACCACTCAAGTTGACGACCGCAGGTTTTCTCTCTTTGTGAATAATCACCTTGGTGTGTCGTGAACTAGATCCTTGTCCAACTTAGAATACGCCGAGAACATGAGTTTAAACAGCTGCACGTCGATGATATTTTTTTTATATATATTTTGTTCTAAAACCGTTGTGTTGTTTTTCTTGGTAAAATATGTATGTAAGATGACGGTTGATTTTAATAAAAGTGTAGAAATTGTTGGCTTTTTAATGTTTTAGGACTAAATCAATTATACACAATGAATGCAATGTAATAAATCAACTAAATCAAGAAAAATTTGCCTATACAACAGGCTTGAAAAACTTAATTAACATTGTAGCAGGTCTTTTATGTCTGCATGGAAATATGGAATTATATTGGGAGTGGCATAAGGCAGCCGCCAGTAATTGTGGGTTCTACCAAGAAAAACAATGGTAGATGTTTCACATAGCTCTTGAAGCTAATAAGAAAACGTCACGTTTATATACAGAGGTGTAACTCTTACGTGGATAGTCCTACCTGGCTGACGTATTGCACAAATCTCTTGAGTCACCACATCAACAAAACTAGTTTCATCTAATCAACTATTCCAATCCTAGAAGCCAACACTAACGATTTTTCTCTTCTTTTTGTTTCAGTTATCTAAAGATGAACTGCAGAAGCTTGTCGAAGGCTTTGAGAAGCAAGACCTCCTGACCTCAGCGGGTGTTACGCTGGCCGGCAACCGATATATTTACCTTTCCGGTACGGATAAAGTTGTAAGAGCTAAATTAGGCAAAGTTGGTGTCCACTGTATGAAGACCCAACAAGGTAAGTCAAAAGTAAAATTACACGAAAACAAAATATGTATGTTAAGAATTAGGTATACACGAGTTAAGGGTTTAATTGCTGCACTACTTTGTGCCACCTAATTAAACATTTTCGTTTTCTTCTGTTACGTTTCCTTGCTCGTTTTAATTGTTTCACCTTCACCCACAGACACACACTGGAGGTGAACGCCATTTTGTAACCATTAAATCTAAATCAATAGTTGGAAGTATTAATATTAATCCATCGCACATTCTTGCAACTTTTTCCATTCAGAAAGACGTTAATAATAAAAACATCTTTTTTTTAACATCTATATACTTAGGATGGTGTCCAGGTTCGTTAATACTTAAAACGTTAAAGTAGCTCGAAAAGTACGTAAACATGGATATTTATAATTTTCTTGTGGTCCCTTATAACTGCATACAAAATAAAATAAATATTTTAAATAAATAAAACTGTAAATAAACATTTTTCTGGCTCGAAGGATTTGACCAGCGATCATCCACTATCCAGTAAATAGCAGCAGCCTTCAATAAATATTTTTGCCTTCTTTCATTCCCTTATTTGCTCTTTATTTTAATTTTTTATCTTTATCACTCCGTATGTTTATCTACCTATCCATCTTATCACTCCGTATGTTTATCTACCTATCCATCTCTCTCTCTCTCTCTCTCTCTCTCTCTCTCTCTCTCTCTCTCTCTCTTTCTCTCTTTTAACCTTTCTTTCACATATGCTGTTTCTTCTTCCCCTCTATTCTTCTAACAATGACTTATCCTGTCTTATCACTTCCCGCTCTCATATTACCTTTTTGTTTCGAACTCGCTTTTTTTCTCTCTCCTCTTCCTCTGGTAGGATAGTTTAGAATGCAACTGTAGAGTTTAGTAAGTGAGATGTAATTTTGTTGCGGGATTGGTATGGATGGTGTGATTGGAAACATAAAAAGGGGCATTGACTATTGTTCTCAGAATTTTAGATACGTCCGTACGTTCAGACGGGGCGGGGGGGGCAGGAGGGCAATGTAGTTTTCTTTTTGGTTTGTGTGTGAGAGTATAGATCGTCGTAGATATTGATTTAGTTTCGTTAACTTTCATTCTCCACTTACGGAGACATGATTCGATTAATGCAAGTAATTTTGGAGTGACGGGATCTTTATCAGAAGAAAAGGATAGCGGTATCATCGGCATAAGTGAGGGTGATAGGTTTGAGTATGCGGTTGTGTAGGTAGGTCGGAGGTATAAATTGAGTTGAGGAGCTAGGACGCTGTTCTGTGGGATACCTGCTAGAATAGAACGGGTAGAAAATAATAAAGTTTTGAGGGATACTTGGAAGTAACTATCGTTAATATAGGATCTTAGATAAATTGTAGGATGTTATTGAGCTTACGCAATAGTCCAGAGTGCCATATCCGGACAAAAGCTTTGATGTATATCCAAGAACACATCCGGACAACATGGTAAGTGAGTGTTGGGTTAAGAACATTAAGTGGCATGTTTAGGAATGATGCTGTTCATTACTGTAGTTGGGAGAGCTAGAAGGGGTCGTGATTAATGATTTGAGGTTGCTGCGGAAGTAACTTAGTAAAGTTGGTGGTATCTCCTGTTGTAGGTGCGTTTGGCTGATATTGGATGAGAAGGGGGAGGGAGTGTGAGAAAGACGCGAGAGGCTGAAGGTGACTGGGTACCCGCGACCGCCTGAGCAAAAGAAATATTTTTGTTGATATTAGCATGTTTGGCGACAGGCCTGGAAGAAAGAAGTTCCGAGGTCGACTGTCTGACTGCGAAGTTTTTCGCTGGGCTGTTGGATGCTCGTAAACGGGTGGTGACTTTAGACGCTGAAGTTCTTTATGCACGGATGTTGTCCGTTGCATAATGCACAAGTGGCTGGCGTGTCATTCTTCTAGTGAAGTCTTGGGCCATGGCTCACCGGCACATTTATCGCATTAGGGCCGGTGTTGGCAGTAATATTTGGGCGTGCCCATATTTTCGGCAACGTTTGCTTTGCGCAATTAAACGTTGCTAGTGAGGTTCTTAAACTTTTATATTAAAGAGTATTGATGTTGAAAACGTCTTTTTTGTTCGAATTGGGATCGAGATTCACAAAGAATAATGGTAGTGTCTGTTTGATGGCCGGGTGAATTAATTACTGGTGTAACATTCTGTACATTGGTGCCAAGTTCGATCAGTTCCTCTTTGATCAGTACAGCCGAGATCTCTGGTGCACATTTCCGTATTACCATTCTATACGCTTTTTCCTCTTATAACTGGAACCTGTGGTAATCAGTGCTACGTTGCTTGAGGTATCTAATTTTGCCTCTATAGCTTTGAACCGTTTTATCGTTGATGTCAGTTATTCGCTCTTTTGTGGAATATGCAGTTTTTTATTTTCAACGTTCTTTACCTTATCGGTGGGGGGGGGGTACGGATTTCTAGAGATGATGAAGTCTATCCATTTCATCTGTCATCATTAAAGTGGTGTGAATGGGTTGTTAGTAAGCAAACCTGGTTTAGCTGTAACAGCGACTGTTGTTTCTTTGGAGGAGCTGGGACAGGAAGTCTGTCTGGCAAGTACTGATGCCTGAAAATCAAGGTTTTTGTGGTCTTATCGGCCTCGTGCTTTGCTGAATTTCTCGTGAGGCGAGTAGCGTCTCGAACTTTTTTCGGGTGAATTAACTGGCGTTCTCGTCTTTTCCTGGCTTAGGCTACTGAAATTGTCGATTCGTTTTCTGTGGACCTTGTTAGAAAAGTTCGATAACTAATGACTTCACGTAAGAAACATTACTCATTTATCGTTCCATCGAATTAAAAGCAATGCAACTGACAAAAAATCTATCTATCTATCTGTGTATCCATCTATCCCTAACTCCCTTTCGCAATACAAAAAGACAGGTGCACATAGTTGTGCAACGCTATTTAGTACAATTATATTCAAGGCATCGTTTCTGTTTATGAATTCTACCTCAGCGTGCAGCTTCTGTTACTAAAGTAGTTATTTAAATTGATGCTAGTACAAAATTTCGTTTGTATTGTTATAAGTAAATACCGGTTTATTTTCTTTAAAAATAATCTTTCATATGCTGATGTTATTGTAGCAGGCGTTGAGCATCTCGACATATTTTTGCATCGTTGCAAGTTTTTTCTCTCAAAGGGCGTCAGCGTAATTCGTTCGTAATAGACAACTATCTTATCAAATTAAACCTGAGTTTTCAATTCATTCCGGTAGCTACAGCCCAATAGGGAAATTTACACTTTTGAAAATAACATTCTCATCACTCGTGATGCTGAACTATTTTTGACCGCCCCGATTGATGACGTCTCACGGGCCGGTTTTGGCACAACTCAACAGAATTTCTTAGGGAAAACGCCATTTCCGTTCAGATTATATTTCATTTGAATTATATTTGTAATTCATCACAATCCGATGAATTTACGGATTTATTCTTTTACATGTCTTGTTTTAGAAAACAAGGAAGACGTTTTCATCTGTTATCTGTCACGTCTATCAGCATTAACAACAGATTAAAAAAAAGTCTCATCCTATTTGGTCACGTTTGATTATTTCCAACTACTGTACAATTATCTATAGAAATTATTTATAAACGGCATAGATTGTATTACACGATGACTGTGTAAGCGAAAAAATGTTGGAGGTAAGCGTACTCACGTACAGATAAAACATTAATCCCGGAGGTTTGCCCACGTGTTTTTCCCTTTAGTCACCGCCTGTTTCATAAAAAAAACATTTAGGCGAAACCGACAAAAATTAGTTTTTTCTATATTTTTATGAACAGTGACATGGAAGATTGTTAGTATCGAATTGATTAAATAGTTATAATTTGGGGTTATGTATTTGTACCCGGAGAGGTTTAAGTGTTTCATCGTAGTGAACCCAGGCTCAAGAAAGTGGTCTTGATAATCTTTTATCTATTGATAACTTATCGTCGTCTTTAATGTTCTGAGTCATACAGAAAAATCCAACGCCCTATTACATACCTAGTAGTGCATTCCTTCCTTTAAAACACGTATTTAAATAACGCGTAACAAAGAAACGCGATAATCATTTTCAATGTTAGTGTTCGTGAACATGTTTATGCGCACGAGCAACATACTATGATTTAATATGTATATACAATATGCACTTACGCATAGCATTCCATTTTTTGTCATCATTTTTTCATGCATAACTATGTAATATGTATATGTTAGAATAATTAATTTCGAAAGAGACACATTCCCTGGAAGTGTTGCTCGATCGTTACATTTTCTATATCTCGCATTTTCTTTCTCTCCATTTCTTCTAATTTCATTCTTTTCTTTCTTTCTCACTCATTCTTTCGTTCTTATTCATTCATTCATTCATTCNTCTCTCTCTCTCTCTCTCTCTCTCTCTCTCTCTCTCTCTCTCATTCTTCATTCTCTTCGATTCTCATTTCCTCTTTTCCACATTTTTAGAGGTTTTCTCTTTTTCCTTCTTGCTGTCGTTCTCTCTTTTGCCTCTCTGAAATTTTATTCGTCGACCGTATTCTTCTTCGTTTTCGTTTCTCTTATTTTATCTTTTCTCGCTGTTTTCATCTATCTCTCTAACCCTTGAGCTTCTTTTTTTTTCTTCTATCTCTTGAAAAATGATCTTCCTCTCCCCTCCCCCTTCCTCTCTTCTCTCTGGCTTTCTGTTTCTCTTATTTTCTCTTTTGCCTGCTCGCTGTTTCTCCCCTCTCTTCCGACCTCCTTCCACCCGCCCTCCTTCCTTTTCTTTTTCTTTCTCGCCATATCTACACATTACTTCCCCCCTTTACTTTTTCTTTCGCCTTTTCCTTTTATCTACTATAACCCTACATAAACAATTATTGGATTTGTTAACAAAAACATACAATTTTAGTTCTTGTAACATCTAAATAAAATGTTTAAAATCCTATTTATTTACATAATATTGTTGTTATTTTCCAGCCGTCGTTGTTTCTCTTTATGAAGATCCTATTCAACCTCAACAGGCAGCGTCTGTAGTCGAAAAGTTAGGAGATTACTTAGTCTCGTGTGGATATTGAGGTAAAAGGCTTTCTTTTTTGACATCAAAATATGGTTATATAGTGGTAAAAGTAACACAATTTTCTTTCAGATAGGAAAACTGCGTCGCCAAGTCTGCCGGGGGGGGGGGATGGCCGGTATATAATCGAGGGGCTAGGACATTCAAAATACAGCGAAAACTTTAAAATGAAGAAGGAAAAAACTGGCGAACTTTGAATTAATTCAAGTGAATTTTTTACTCAGAAATTTAATAAAATGAATTGGAAGGAATAAGAAACTTAAATTAATAACAATTATAAACAAGTAGGGGGACATGTGACGTTCGGAATCCGAAAGCTTTTTTCATCATTTGCCATGTTTTGTTTAGAATTTCCAGGAGTGTACTTTTTTAATTATATCGTCTCTTGTGTAAAGAATATTCAATTTCGAAGCCGAAGATTTCGAAAGTCTTGCCGTTCAATTAATACAGAAAAAATCTTCTTCTTTCCAAACATTTAAATCGGAAAAAAATCGAATAAATAAATTTAAAAAAAAATCCGACAATTTTTATGTATTTAATAATTGTTAATTTTTATCATTTTTTAAAGAGAAAGGAAAAACTCTAGTCCAACCTTACAAAAAAGGCATAATTTTTTTACATTGATGCAAAAATTTTTGTTTCTTTTTCGGGGGAATATAAATAAAAAAGAATAAGAAAGCCACATTACCAGAGGCTGTGTGGATTTGGCTCCGGATGATATATGTTGGTATATACGGTGCAAACAAAATTATTTAAAATTTTGGGAAAATAATAGAAAAAAAACCGATTCTAAGTGTATGTATTCTTTATGTGATTCAAGATTTTTTTTATATAAATATAATAATATTAATAATTAGATTATGGGATTCACGAACAATTCAATATTCTTTTTAGAATTATTATGAACTTAATTGTCTATGATGCTCAGTTTGATGCTATATGTTAGAAGAAGAAAAACCCTTTTCATATGTAATTTTCTCTTTTTTACTGTACTTGCAATTTTTTTGTCGGAAAAATATTAAAAAAAAAAATATTTTAAAACCCACTTTTTTTTTGTTCTTTTCTCTTTAGATTAGTCATGTATCGAACCTTTTTTGTCTTGTGGATTCCTTTTATTTTTTATTAATTAAAAAAGCCAACTATAATAATTTTTGGCTAATATCGTAAGAATTTTATTGGTATATGTTTTTTTTCTTTGGGGTTCCTGAGATAATGTGCAACTTCTATTTTTGTTTTGAAATTTAATATAGATTTGAGATATTTGAAGCAATTTTAATTTTTCACCTTAGACATATTATCAGCGCTGTGCTTTAATATATGTTAAAGGAGGATGAATTTTTCTCCTCTGTATGTGTGCCAATTTGTGGAATCGATCAGCTGCCTCTTGTTATTATATACAATAAAAATAATTAATAAATTATGTGGAAACAAAAACATTTATAATTATATATTGTAATCTCGATAAATTAAAAAGGAGGTAAAAAAAGAATTTTTAAATATGCTACACATTTTGTATGTTATGCTCGTTTTCGTTCGCAATTTGTAAACCAATTGGTCATCATGGATCCCCATAAAAAGGAACGTTTAATAAAAAGAAGTTGCATTTATTAAAACCATCGCCATTATTTTAAACCCCAAGATCCCGAGGAGGTGAACATGAAAATATTAACAACCCTAAAAGATATTCTAAATATTACGAATCCGAGTCGAAAAGGTAAGCCAACACCACCAGGCCACGGCGAATTTCAGCAGTGAATACGCTAAACTCACGAAAGCCTATCAGCTTTGGATATCTCAGTTGCAAACGCGTTTCCCATTGATCCAAATTTCACAATTATTTAAATAATGTACGATAACAGGCCGACAAAAGTATGGTTTACTCCAAGAGAATTTTAGTTAAGAAAGTGTAAAGGTATGTATCATAATATTTTACTTTTATATCCCTGATACTTTATGCTATTTCAATTATTAATTTCAAGTTGTCTAGTGACAATGAAAAATAAAACTATTTTCTTCTATTAGACTATCCTTTTTTCCCTGTATGGTTATACATAGTAAGGATACATACATACATACATACATAAGGATAGAAGGCAGAAATATATTGGTTAATAATATTGGAACACCGGAATAACATCAGAATACAAATTTAAAAAAAAACTTATACTATTATTTCCAACTTTAATTTTCATAAATTGGATTTGTATCGATCTGATACAGTGGTCAAACAATGGATAATCACTGAAATATATTATTATTTTTACATGTTTAAATTACTGAAAACTTTCGCTTTTCACCCACTTACTGAGGGAAGAAGAAGGTAAGCTTTCCATGCTAAAGCAACGGGGCTTTGGTAGAAAAGTTATTCAAAAACAGTTCGGTCAATATTTTTTTGCTCTCTTAATCTTCGATATATCTCTAATTTCTAATTAGTTGATTAGTTCAGGACAATATTTTTGACGGCTACCGAGATGCAGTTTTTTAATGTATTTGTATTTTTAAATTAACCGTTAAATGGGTTTGTGTTTAACGCAGCGAAACAGTTTTGGTAGAAAAGTTATTCAAAAATAGTTCGGTGGTCAGTATTTTTTTTTCAATATATCTCGTCTGTGTGTGAATAACAGGTTTAATTGTACAATAGCCTAGTTCAAAGAGAATATTTTGCACGTCTAATTTTTGAAGGCAAGATGAGGTTTTTTTAAATGTGTTTTTATTTGTAAATAGACTATCGTAACTTTCCCTAATGAGTTTGTGTTTGCCGCAGCGATACACTGTTTTGATTGAATAGTTATTCAAAAATAGTTCGGTCAATATTTTGTTACTCTTCGATATATCTCTAGTTTCAGCGAGATATAACAGCTTTAATTAGGTGATTAGTTCAATATTTTTGACGTCCACTATTTGGTGGGGGCAAGATGGAGTTTTTTAATGTTGTTTAATTTTTAAATTAACCATTAAACTTTCCGAAATTGGTTTGTGTTTTACGTAACGATGCACAGTTTTGGAAGACAAGTTATTTAAAAACATTTCGGTCAATATTTGTTTTCTTACTCTTCGATATGTCTCGAGTTTCAGCGTGATATAAAACCTTCAATTAGTTGATTAATTCAAGACAGTTTTTTGACGTCTACTATCTGAGGGCAAGATGCAGTTTTATTAACTGTATTTTGAATTTTCTTTGATGAGTTCGTGTTTATGTACAAGGTGGTCAAACACCGCATTTCCTTTTAGATTAGCCCACCTTTGTTCTAAAAACTGACAGTGTACTTACAGTATAACTGCACAAACATGGAATTTCCGAAATGATAATTTTCGGTCAACTTCTTTAAACCATAGTTCCCTTACCTTACATAATGCTATTTTGATGTTTTAACTGTGAGGCCATGTCAACAGGGTTCGGTTTTTCCCCTTCGAATACGCCGAGATCCAAACCCAGGGCAACGATGAGTCGTCAATGCTCTTGTTCAAACCTTAAAATGACCGTATCCTGTAGACTTCTGGGTCGTTTCTAGTTTATTTTGCACACCTTACGAAATATTTACGCGGCGCATCATAAATTCATTAAATTCTCAAAATTTCACCTGTTAAAACCACCTCCACCTCCAGATGTAGAAGATTTTATGGTGTTTGACAAGCCGGTAACGAGCCTTGATTTCAATGAATTTAATTGAATCATTTATAAAAAAAAAAAGTGACAGTATGAATTTTCTTGTAGTATAAATATATACCCTAAATAATATATATATGACAGCTGCCTGCTGAAACTTCTGCCGTTTGCAAAAAGTCCTCAACGAATATGTAGTTGCCAATTAACACATCCACTGGACGTATGACGCCAGGGTAGCGTTAAACTCTCTACTGTTTCTAATTTCTCAGCCTTGTATTTTGGTGAATTTTTGAAAATGCTGTTTCAATAAACGCCACCAAGAAAAAAATTAATGGTTTTAATTTTAATTAAATATGACTATTGGCCTGTATTAAATATGGCTATGTTGATGGTTTCAAAAGTTGACCAAATATTGTAGTAGTAAAGCTGGAGAGGGTTTCCAAGCATTTCACATAATTCAACATAGAAATCTTATAATTTTTTGTTATAAATTATTTAAAACCACAATTATTACAATAAAACTTGCAACATGCCGATAAAAATATTCCTAAAATATGAGTCCGACCATATTTACTCTTGGCTTGACGATCCAGCGATTTGTTTACATTTAAACGTTCCTCAACCCCACAGATATGACAAATTAGTTAATTTACGCTGATCGAAGGCCATTAAAAATAGTTAATTAACATGTATATATTAAATACGTGATATAAGAGACAAGTGATTAATTCTGATCACTTGTTGACAAACAATCACTCCTAACAATACAAGTTCTAGATAATTAAATTTTAAATCAAAATCTATTCGTACGTTAAATTACCCATCCCTAACAAATATAGAACAAACAATTAATAATAATATAACGGGGTATAGGATTTTTATTTTATGTTTTCTTATTTGTAAAAATTAGAAAAAAAAGGGAGTAAATTAGCAACAATAGAGAACAGATAGGACATAATAAATATTTATTAGTCAATATTGATTAATACAAATGATCTCTTTTTTTTTTCACCTTAAACAGTACAGTTAAAGGGTAATTATATAAAACATTTAGTGTACAAAGGAGCTTGTGAAGCCTTGGTAGGTACAATTGTTTTTCTTCATTAATTTTGTTATTACGGGAAAAAACGCCAACATGCATTGTGCCATTATCACACTCTCTCTATTCTACTCTCTGGGCAGTGACAGATGTGCGGATGGCACCTTAATTTGTTACATAACAGTTAATATGACACGAAAAAGCATTCATTTATATATATTTATAATATGTATATGAAACGAGATATACATTTTTTTCTTTTTTGCCTTGTATAACTATGCTTGTCTATACAAAGGGACAAAATATATTAATCTTTAGGCCAATCTTTTTCTCAACTGAATCAATATCTTGACTGAACTAAATTGGGGAACAGTCTATAAGGTTCCGGAGAAACACAACCACTATTACATTACCAATATATACTTTTACTTTATTTTTCTTTTTCATATATGTAGAATTTTTATATATATATAATTTTTTTTAAAAATTTGTGCGGAGATTTTTCCATACTCTTTTGATGCGGACTTCGCCTGTAGAGGAAATTGCATTTAATTTTTTTTTGTAAAAACAGATAAATTAAATTCATGAATTTGAATATTTTAAGAATATTTTTTTAAAGTAATTGCATAAACTCAAATACGGCTAGAATTGGATTTGACAAATCTAAAAAGATCTCTACAATCGAAATCCGCCAGACTAGAATCTTCCACATGAACACGACTCTAAAAAAGACAAACCCCTAAAGCTGAACACTTATATACAAACTACACTTTTTTTGTGTTATATATATATATACCGTACAACTTATTATCTTTATAGCTTTTAATTTGACTTTTCTTCCTTTTTTTCCCTTAAAACCTGTTAAGTTAAAGTTTTGGTCTTTTATTTTTATCATAGACCGAATTTCGGGGTTACTGCTCCAAGTCGTCCGCTGATTTGTTTTATTTATCGACGGCAGGAACGAAAGCATAGCCAAGAAGTCGCCGCCGCCGTCACCTCAGGCTATTGCTGCTCGAGCGAGTAGTGCCTTGACCTTTTCCAGAAACTCCTGAAGAAGCCCTTCTTCTGCCTTGACCCTTCTGCGCTTTCACCTACAACAAAATAGGCTTCTCGTTCTTATTATTGCTGTCCCATTCTAATGAGGATGAGATTTACTGTGACATGAATTATTCCGTTAGGGAGATTCATAAAGCAAGGGTTAGATGAATGACAAGAAAAACACGAAAGAAGCCAAAATGGCCTCTGGCCAAGAAAAAAAGTTGATATCGATGGTATAGGGTGAATCATCTCTGGCTCACAAGAACCCAATAAAGGAGTTGTTCAAGGATTTTTCCAAAATATCTTTTTGATTATCTAAACCGTAAAATGAGACTGAACGTCTGACCTGACTTGTAAACAACCAAACACGTCAATGGTTTTTTGAAAGACTTCTCCAAACGATTAATTTTTTAGTTTGTGAAAATTCCCGTTCAAGATAAGGAAAATGAGATTAGAAGACAAAAAATGTCAGCTAATTCAACATAGGGAATCAATATAAATTTGACTTGTGCTGAAAGCCGTTGGCAGAGTGGTGAAAGAGAAATGTGAGCCTGAGAGTGTGGCCACCTTCAGCCCGCACCCACACTACTCAGATCAATATAAGCCGTTACGTCACTGAGGGTGGCATACCCATCAGTTGCTGGGTTCCAACTGTAGGAACTAGGCATGTGGGGCACGTACGGCTGTTAAGAACCGTTTTACGGCCATGAGAGCTGATTATGATTATACATTGAATTATTGACAATATCGACATGCAAACCAAAACCTAAGAAAGCTGCTGTGTCTATTGATCAACGATAATACAGAAAATGACAAACCTACAATCTAGAGTCAAATCTTACACACTAAAGTAATGAAATAGAAAGGAGAAACATTCATATTTTCAGTTAATCAATATATTACTGCAATATTATAAACAATATTTGCTATGTATGAGTTCTTATTATGAAGTTGGAAATTGAATTCGTCCATTATTTTCATGTCTCTTATACGCACATCCTGTCAGGAGAGATAAGCAGACAAGGATCGGATTTCATGGAGTGTCAATATGTACATAATAAGCGCTTTTGGACTTACTCAAATTTAAGTATAAGTCAGAAAAACCAGGTTACGTTTTATAGTTTATTTGATTTTTATTAAAGCCGTTTATAATAATCAACAATGACTCTTTAGACATATCTGATAATGTTTGTACTATATTTTTTTTTCCTGACAACATACTGTCTTTTATAAAGTATAGATTATTTTTATGTATATTTATAATAAAAAATGTATGCCTTGTAAGCATTATTTGTCTTTCTTGTGTATTAAAAAGAAAAAATATATGTTGATTACTTCGGAAACGTTAAAAAGAAATAATTTAAAAAAAGCGTAGAATATATTTTTAAAAATATATACTTAAGCTTATTGAAATCAACAAAGGTTTTGTCATTGTAACAATTAGATCGGTTTTCCCCTTGGTTGAGAATATGTCACACCAGAAAAACGCATAAACTGCTGCTAACACACGACCTTGCCCATATTAATTTGGGTTGCTTATAAAACAAATCATTCCAAAGGGGAAGTGAAAGCATATAAAAAATATTACCTTCCATATACGAAGAGTATTTCTGTTTGTACGATCCTATAAAGTTTTAAAAACTATAAGGGGGAAGACGAAATCAGGAGAAAATCGAATACAATAATTAATAAGGCATACAATTGGTTCCTAATTCTGAGAAGGAACTCGATCAGGTATATTCTGTGAAAACACAAAATTTGAACGATCAAACTCATTAGGGTTAATAAAGCATAGTCTTTCAAACTGAAATAGCCAAATGTAGACAAAACCTCTAATTCCTGGGAAACAATAACAACCTGACAATATTTTCGGTGTTATACACAAAAGAAATTTGGGTAATGGACAAGCAGACAAACTGGCCAGAGTAGGGTCTTCAAGACTAACAGCCCAGAACCTTTAATTTGTAAGACAAGACTAAAAATATACTCCTCGAAAAGTAGAAATAGACGAATTCCAAATACACTCACGATTAAACAACCTTCGCCAAAACTGGCAAATACATCACTACTGGGAGACTGGGTAAAACTTAGGGGAGTGATAGGGATATATGCCGGTCACTGGCATTAAGAAAATGTGGGTATATTCAATGATGACCCATTTGTAGGTTATGCAATGAAGAGTAAGAAAGCGCCATTTATATTACCTTCGTATACGAAGCAACCACCCATGGAGGCATAACAGGACACCAAGAAGATTCGATAAAAAAATTACTACAATGACATTATTTCCACTGCGAATATTTATAGACCGCACCTGTGCGCGTCGTCCAGCCGCAAAGCGGGTTGGGCATCAATCCTACATCTGAACAATCGAATGTACCGTATATTCACTACTATGCTCTGCGCCCACCGTACTCGATACCTTCTTGAGACAGCATATCCAGCAAGGAACATTTACGTTTTCATGAGCTTCGTACTCTCGCTAAGTGCAGGCCCTATACTCCACAGGCCCCTGATCTCCCGGGTTTGTCAAGAAAAAGCAACACTTTGGACGATGTTAGAGTAGCCAGACTATTGCTTGACTTGCCTCCGCCAACAGGCATACTGTCCAGCTCCAATTGCCCTTAGGATTTTTTAATTATGTGGTGTCCCCTCCCCACCAAGAGAATCGTACGGACACCCAAAAATAAATTTTCGAGAGGTGTGTGTAAATCCTAGAGCGGCTGCCAGCCCCCTTGGGACGGGAACCAACGGACAGCTTCGGAAGCCATTCCATTGGGAAAGTCGAAAGGTTGGAACGAGGAAAGCATTGCCAAGTCTTCCACGCCCGTAGAGCAGTGGCTTCCAAGGACGGTTGGATCCCACCACGTAATGCCGAGGGCCTCTTGGCCGCCAATGCTGGCTACTTACAGCATTCGAGGACATCATAGATCTCAACTATGAGCAAGGCACCACGGTCCTCTACTGCTTCCCAAAGGATATCGTACATCGAGAGGACAACGTACGTCCAGAGAGGATCGGAAGGGTGAGCTTCGAGAGTATAGGATAAGCAGTGTTACATTTAGAGTATACATCGCTCTTTAGGCGAGACAGTACTCTCGTGCGTCTATCTAGAGGTATCTAAGGAGTCTTTAAGTAAATATAGCACTCTTTTTCTCCGTGATCCCCAAATAAACTGGGTACGGATTCTCAGGGTGGATAGGGATGGGGATCAAGCGTCTCCTTTTCAGGTTGCACAACAAGTCTGTGTTACAATGACAGTCAATGAATGACCTCCATCTTAAAAGAAGGATCGAGTCTATTGACCTGAACTAGGCAACTAGGAAAAGTACAATTTAAGCCAGAAGGCTGCAAACCTTCCGCTTCCTCGTATTTACTATTTTCTCTCTCTTCTCCTCACTAAGGGAGGGATGGAGAGGGAGAGCGAGGGAGAGAGAGGGGGGGAGGGAGAGAGAGAGAGAGGGAGAGAGAGAGAGTGAGCGAGAGAGAGAGGGAGAGAGAGAGGGGGAGAGAGACGGAGAGAGAGAACAAATACAGGCTATCTAACAGATTGAACAAATGAATATTAATATTTACTGCTTTTATGCCATGAGCTTAAAGCTTCTCATTCATTCCCACTTCCGCGTGAACATAAGCACAAACAGATAGTATAATTTTTAATATCAGTACTCAGTATTTTTTATCAGCTTTGTATAACACCACTCAAAATTTGATAAAAACCTTATCTAAGGAAAACTTTATTTCACATTTTGAACGAACACACAGAAATGAATAAGGTCATTAGATAACGACAAAGCAATGACTGTACTGACGAGACTAAGGATCGGCCACAGCAGTTACTCGCATCTTCTTTTCAGATCGCCTTACGAACAACTCGTAATGCGTGATAAATATGAAATGCGCAATAATACATATTTTTGAAATGAGATAAATTATGAATACACATTAAACTTAGTAGAGAAATAAAAAGTTTAGCTAATGGTGCATAAAACCTTTTTAAAAAACAGTCGATTTATATTATTTTTCTATAATTTTCTTGTCTAGAATAAGGTAACGATCACTCCCTCCTTAATGAGGGATCATTAATTTCCAAAAACCAAAATATTCAGAAATATTTTAAAAGCGCTTTTCAAGTATCTATTATCATATAAACGAATAATCTCCACGCAAAGCTGTATAATGGAGAGACCCACAAAACATGAGAGGGAAATGTAAATCACTTTTCACTTTCGTGGAGCCATTGTTCGTAAAGCCGCGCTGAAACATTCCCAAACTCTCGCATGGTTGTTGTTTTTAATTTTACTTCCCAAAAGATAATGACTGATGAATTTATATATAAGGATTTCTTTGATCTTTGAAATTAGTCTTGTAACAATTTTACAAAGTGGGTCTTGTTAAAAAAAAACTGTGCCAGCTGCAGTGGCAAACTGGAAGGTGCGAAGTAAGCAAAGGACATCGGGAATAAAACAAAAAATAAATAAATAATTTAAAAAAGTTTACATTTTGACGGAGTGATAGGACGTGGGTAAGTTGTAATCGTGTTAGAGCCAGTTGGGCCGAGGTCGGGAAAGGGCAGAGACGCTACGCAATCATGACATCTGTTGACCCATATTTATATTATATACCGTCCTCCACGATTTTCACAAATAAGCGTTTTCGAAGGAAAATTAAATTAGGAACCGGTCGATGAACTCCAAAATGAAAACCTTCGCAAAAGTAAAATGGGTCGGGGAAAAACCTCGGAATGAATAAATTATATATTCAATGGGCGGGCCTTACAAAATAATACACTACAATATTGAATTGTAAATATGACATAATTAACCATTTTACTGTATAATTTGCAGACATTCGATTTATTTACAAATTTTAAAATATTTACTTTTTCTTGATTACAATTATGTAAGTCGACCATATCATTTTTGCTCTATAGGAAAAGCCTGCAATCAACAAATTGGTTCATTAAAATATGTTATTTGATATTGTTGTACAGGTATTGATAGTACATATGTATAGGTAATTCGTAATGTATAGGTACAATTATGTACTTTAA